ATGGGCTCGGTTCTTCTATTTTTTATATTTTTTTTAGTGTTTATGGTCAGCGAACTTGAGCCAGTCAGCGAGCCAGTTGCTCAGAAATAAAATGAGCGGGCGGGAAACAGCGTACCCGCGTGGAGCTCTAACAGAGTTGTATGCAAAACAAAATGCAATACAAAAAAGAAGCGTCAAAGCAAAGAGCAGAGGGGGGAGGGAAGGGGGGGGGGGGGTGGCGGTGGCGCCTTTCGCGCAGGCGACGGGCTTTACTGGCGTTACAGTTCGAGGAGCGTTGTTTAGCAGGCGGCCAAACCTCTGCCTTCCACGTTCATTCGCGCGCACTCCTTCGAAGTGAGAACTGTAGGTTTGCTTCGGCAATAAAACAAAGCAAGATTCACTTCTCTCTTCTCCTCTTGCGTTTTGTTTTGTTTTGTTCTGTTTTTTTGCTCCGACACTTGTTTTATTATTCTGCATTTTTACGTGTAAGTCCGCCTGTTACTTGGTCTTTGTTCCGATGCTTGTTTTCTGTGTTACATGTTTTACATTCAAGTGGGTTAGGCTTACAGCCAAGCTAGCGGATTCCCGCTCATTTCCTTCGTTTTAGACTGCCTACTTTGTTTCACCTTGTGATGGACCGCTGCGGACGCGACGAGTCACCCCAGGCAATCCAGCACCTTGAGGGGGACACACGCACGGCGCGTTGCTGCGCCCCAGGGTCACGCGACACTCAGTAGGCACTGGATTGGTTTCGATGGCTCTAGTGCTGTCTGTTGCGGTTAATCGTAAAGTGAATTGTCGTCACAGCTCTTGTCGCGTGACCAAACTGACTACACCTGCAGAAAGATTGTTTCGTGATATGGTCACTCGTGCTGCGCCCTTGAGGTTGCACTTTGTCAGAGGATGTGTTCCTGCCACTGTGCATGGAGTCGCTTCCAGGAGCATACTAGCCGTATCGCTGTGCAGGTATTTAAAGAATACAGAACTTAATATAGCTTATTTCTGCGCCACGCATGAACTGGATATTTTTATGGTCCTATCAAACAAACACGCTGGCCGCGTACGTATGTCCTAGAACACAAATGCAAAAAAAGTTTGCCCCAAAAAATTAGTGGATTTACGTTTTGGTGAATGTTGCGAGCCACGTCGTCGAAAGACCGATGTTTTGAACAAGCATCGACATATCAAGGGGCTTTCTCGATGTTTGCAGTATTATGTAAACGAACACTTTGTGCCACCAGCGCTCCGCGTAGTAAAATCAGTGCATTTTTTATGCATTTTGTATTTTGTTGCAATGGACCTTTTCCACATACCGACGGCACCAGGCGGTGGGTGCACAAACTAAAAATCGAGGAAGTGACCTACCTGCGCTACCAATCAATAATGGGAGCTGCGCTACCAGTTTCTTCGCTCCCTGAGCAGAGGCACCTGCCCAACGCGACTTTAAAGAGGGGCATCCGTGGCGTCCACCCAAACGTAGTGTTTTCCTTTCCGTTGACGTTCTTTTTTTGTGTAACACAATTATATATATGCTGCAGTTACGTGTTCTACTCGCTGATATACAGCCTCATTCTGAATTTCCTTGATTTTTCGTTCCGACTTCCGCCACTTGGCATCGGGCGCTCGCGCGTGCGCAGAACGCTTCTCGGAAAAGGTCCATTGTCTACATAGAGTTATTATAATGTACGCTAGAGGTTCAACTGGCGCTAGTGTCTATACGACTTCCGTGACGCAAATTGAAGCAGACAGCAACCAGTCTACATTTGCGGTGCTCCTGTGCATTCCTATGGGAAAACGCGCGTGCATTTTGTCTCTTCGCCGGAAAACAACACTGAACGCTTTGGTTATTTGGGTCGTACCGAATAGTATGTACCTTGATTAACATTCTAAAAGTGTAATTGCTTTAGTTAGCGCATTTTTCTTCATCGGTGAGCGATGTTTAACTTCGCTACATTTCAGTCCGAAACATGTATTCCGCAGCAGGTGTGTAAAAACAAGCGACGATTCAGAGCAAAATAACAACCGAAAGGAATATAGAGTGTGTTCAAGGCTCGCCAGCATTCCGGAGACGCTTATATATTGCTAATATGCCAGTCCTCTCACTATATGAAAATGACCCCTTCGTGCATGAGTGAATAAAGACATTCAAAACGTAAACAATAAAGTATGTGGGCCATGAAAGGTGTCTCTTCGTATTGTTTTATCTGCCGGGCACCTTTAAACATGCATGCAGTCACTTGTTCTCAAAGATTTCGAGCGTGCGGGTGATATTTTAAACGTAGAACAAGCATCTTCGCGCAGAGCAGAAAGAATAAAGCGGTACTTACTTAAAATCGGAATATATTACGTGGCCTTCAATTTCTTTTGATCGTGCACGCACTGGTCCTTACTGATCCAGTGTTACTGAGTAGTTCTTGCCGTCTCTCCTGGCTTTCCAGATGTCCTTCGTTCGTTTGGCACGTATATCCCTCATGCTGAAAAGTGCTGACGTCGTGTTCGCGCTAACAGTGTCCGACAGTGCACATAAATACACGTACGAAGCCGTTTTAGCACCGTTTTTAATGCAAGGAATTTGAAAGAAAAACGCAGAAACTGACCAATTATTTCATCTGCGTGACTGCGAAATGTTCCAATGCGCCTAGTACGCACGAATTATTCCTGACATTTGCTCTTATAATCGAGCGCAGAGAGAAAATGCGCTCGTTTTTTCCCATAGAAATGCATTACCGGAAGTCAATTTCGGACTGGTTGCTGTCTGCTTCAATTTGCGTCAGCACACTAGCGCCACTTGAACCTCTAGCGTACATTATAATAACTCTATGATTGTCTATGCGTTTGATAATGTCAGCTTATGCCGGCAACACAATGTAGCTGTCAAGAGCCGATTTTTACGCCTAGGAATTAGAGGAATGGAGTGGAACGATTCAGCCATTCCAGGAGTGGGAATGGGCCCAGTGTCCCCATTCCTAGGAGTTGAAAGGAATGGAATTATCGCAAACTCTAATTCCCGGAATGGAATTGGAATGGAATGGGGGTGCCCATTCCGCAACACTGGTGGCAATGTTTGCGGACAGAACAACTGGAACCAGAGTGTTAACCCGGAAGAAATGACCTGGATTTCACAGGCCAGGAAATATGAACGGAACTGCACTCCAGGGTTTTGATAGAATATGAAGAGGTACGAGGACTAGTGTTTTCCCACCTCAAGCGGTGTTCTTTTTTTTTCTTCACTTTTACGCTTTTGGGGAATGAATGTATGTTATTTTAGCAGCTTTCCTCGTTTCTCCTAACATATATAATAATATAATGCTTTGTTATTCCGTCAATCAGAACTACCAAAGTCTTTAGATGAAGCACGGTGGTGATAATACAACATGCACTCGTCAGCGCCCCCATTACTTGAGCAATGCGCAAATGTTGAAAGTATTTCTGGTAATACTTCCGCAGCGAAAGTATGCTACGTTCTTTTAAGCTGTTCATAATAGACGATGCACTCGCACAAAAACGACACGCGGGAAAACATAAAAAAAAAAAATTAAAACTAAAAGAATGATAGAATTTTAAGGTAAGGTGGCTGCAATGAAAGACCCAGGAAAGCATTGGACCATGGTCTCAAGACTCAAGGATTGCCCTGAAAGCAACAGGGTTGTCAAGCAACATCGGGAAGCTCAGAAATGCTCTTCTCGTCAGAACTATCGAAGACTGGAAGAAATTGCCACAGTGTGTTTTTACTGCCGTTTCTTCCGTAGAGGCATTTGAATTAAAATTGTTGAATTTGTTTCCTGGTGCATAATGTTGATTTTTTTTTTTTATCTGTATCACTTCTTGTGTCATACTCTTGATAACTACATATGTTGTAAACCCCCTCCTCCGATAACCCGTAAGGGTTGGGAGTACTTAAAATAATAAGATAAATAAAAAGAAGCGAAGAGGCAAGCCCGCAAGTCGCCACAAACAATCCGTTCCCAGGAAGGCACGTGCCACGTGCAAAAACGGCATTGACCCAAGACGCGAAGCTCGAATCACAGCCGAATGTCGGACCCCTTTCCTTCTACGTCCACTCTCGCCCAACTGCTATCAGCGGAAGAAAAAGTAAAGGCAGATGAGAAACAATAGCCTCCGGAAACACGCACAAAGAAAGAAAAACAGATGACAATAAAACGGGCAGATAACAATTAGGACTCGGCGCTCGTCCGAACGTTTTAACACCTCCCCTTTAAAGCCACAAAACGAAATTCGCGTCAAAGAGAGGCACAAGGGCGAGAGCAGGCAGCAAAACCAACACACACACCACTGGCGACAGAAAATGCTGCGCGGAAAAGATCATATGCGCGTTGCGCCGAAGCCACCGAGCGCTCACATCAACGCACAGTGCGTCTGCTTTCCCAATTTAATGGACTTAGCCGCAAAACGCCAGACGCAATTTAAACACTCTCCCCCCACTATCAATTTGATCGCCATCGTTCGCAAAGATCAATTAAAAACGACAAGAAAACGTGCAGTGAATCATTCCATTGACGTCGTCTTGGCGTCCGCCAAGCGATCGACCGACAACGTCTAGCGAGCGAATCGGTCACAAAACTGCCTGGTGCAAAGCTCGACGAAATAGGAATGAATGAATAAACAGACATCGTTGGTGCTCTACGTGGGATCACCAGGAAAGCTCTCTACGTTTCTCGCTCTAGCTACAGCTTCATTGATCTAGGCTGCGTAAGGCGCCCCTGTCCAGCACTCGAAGCAACACAGCGACGCATCGCACACCCAACTCCGGTGCTACCGTAGGAATCGGCGCGTTGGGTTGACCAATTTGCGGTCGGTTGACTAGGCGATCGTTTTTGTTTCTATTTGCTTTTAAATTAGGCTTAATCCACGAGAAAAAAAAAGCCGGTCACTAGGTCCCCGCACGACAGTAAATGAGGACGCGTCCGGAAATAAGCCCGGAGTTGGGAGAAATTTGCGAGGAAAGCTGGTACTTGGAGAATCGGTCGGCGGTAGGGGTGGTGCTCGTCGAGAAACCTTACCGTGAGGTTAGAATGCTTGCGAGGTTCGACACTCCCTGGCGTCACACACCACAAAACCACGGCCCGGCGTGAGGCTTCGAAGGGTTCGGGAGATGGGGGAGGCCTGGCTGTCCCTTGACGAGCCGATCTGGTCGCGATTCACCGTACCGTGAGGCCCCACGAACACGCCGATTTCGCTCTGACACCAGCGATCAAAATCTTGCCGACGGCACACGCTACAACACACACACGCAACTCCGTTGACTCCGTTACACCGGAACCCGAAAACGAAACGGATGTAGATTCATCCCCCCTGCGGCTGTGACGTCACGTGCCTACTCTCAAACCCAGAAGTATTTAAACAGAAATTTAAAAAAAGAATTTAAGAAAAACTAGAAGTAGATTTGATTGCTTTTTACATTTATATTTAAGTTCAAACCAAATACGTTGCTAAAAATAAACTAACAACGCTTATTTGTTGAAGTGGTTGCTGAAGCGTTTGGGTTCGAGAATGTACCCGACAATGTGCTCCACTCGGTAGCGAGCAGGCATGGGATTTCGATTTTTAATGTCGTGAAAAAGCCTCGTTACAGTGAAATTCAAGAGAAGAAAACGAGTAAACTGCTTAAACGTGGTCGGAACGGGCAAATCCCAGTCTGACCGACCATTTCGGTCCCGCGATCTGACGATGTAGTGTCGAGAAGTTTGGTCAGCGGTGAGCGCGTGTTTTGTAAATTGTAGCCTGTGAATGTATTTATTTTCCCTCTCGCGTTTCTGTCCGCGTACACAGGCAACAGTTTACGTGATGATTACGAGGACTCTGCTAGCTTAAGAATAAACTGCGCATCGCGGTTCCAGGTCGCGTTGCTGGAAAGCGCTTCGTTCGATGCGTTTGTGTCGAAACGGAGCGGGCGACCCTTCCCAGAGAAAGCGCTTCCAAGGAGTGCGTTGGGATCACCATGGATGGAGATCGAAATGCTACTTCGGAAAACACCGGCTGTGACACTTGCGGCGTAGCATCGTTTCCAAGCCCAAACGTAAGTTCGCGCTCTCTTCCCAACTAACGAACATCCAACCGCCTGAATCTCTACGTGGCCGTAGCAATCGGGCCTTGATTGATCTCGTGTGCCAAGTCTTGAAAACTCATTTGCGCGCCTTGAATAGCACACGCGTCTTTTCTTTTTTTTTTTTTTTTTATGATCATCAGTTGCTTAAAACAGGCCTCGTGGGATAACGAAAAAAATCATGGTTTATTAGGAAGATGAGGTTAACCGAGCGGAGTGATGCTGGCTCGCTACATCGTGCTGGGGAAAGGGGAAAAAGATAAGGAAAGAACACATATCTCCCAAGAACCGCAAATAAACGCGCAAAAACAAATAAATATGTAAATTGAAGATATTACTGCCGTGTGAATGCAGCTTTAAAGTGGGATCGCTGCCCAAGAAGTGGAGGAACACTGACGCTCTTTTTAACCATTCAGCAATCTCACACACCAGCCGAGGGCAGTAATCGCGGTGTTTATTTTGGCTCAGGAGAGCCGTGGCCAAGGAAAGATGCTTAAGCCCCTCCTCCCCCCCCCCCAAAAAAAAATATTCCTGACTACACCTGACGAATGACGACCTTTTCAATACACCTGACGACCCTATAATATATACATGCTTTTTACCCCCCCCCCCCCCCCCTCCTCAAAAAAGAAAAAAAAATTAATATATATATATTCTTGACTAGGCCACTGCCACGCAGGCCTACAGTGCCTCGTCTAATGATAATGCAGTGACATTCTACGTGTGACAGAAGAGGTGACCATAGTTGTACACCGTATGACGGTTGTTCGCCCAGATACGAAGGTACGCGCGTATTGGGAGGACACCGGCAGGGAAGTCGCCGAAACGTACGCCATCAAGAGCTCGGTCACTAACGTCACCTCGGCCTCTCTGGCCCTTTCCGACAGGGAGATGAAATTCCTCCGTCCCGAACTGGGCGGTAGGGACCAGAGACCTCGAGGGAAGGCCGCGAATGACCCGTTTTTTCCCCTTCTCCTTTTTCAACCCCCCCCCCCCCTTTTTCCTTCTCTGCTCCCTCCCCAGAACCTGCTCGATGGCCGTCGTTTGAACGGAGACGAAATAAATGTCGTCGAGAGTTGAAAGAGTTGTATCGTCTGTTTGCGTCCCAAATTTGTGTTTGTTCTTTCCAGTCGTTTAAATGGTTAATACATCTATGGGAGCCTTAGCAGTGAGTCTAGTGTGTGTGAAGGTGCATACTCGAACAACAATAAACAAACAAAACAGACAGTGACACGCCACAACTACCTCCTGTTCATGGAGCATCATCTTGTGGGACTACGCAGCATGTTGAAGACACTTGTGAACGGCATGATCAGAACTACCGAGTGTGGCTCACAACTGCTTCGTGTTTTCAGGCACATTTGGAACACAACTTTTCGTTGTCCCACCACCTCAAGGTTGACCAGAAGTTCTCCACGTAAGTAGCCATGTTCCTGCATGGTGTTCATGAGTGATCGCCTTCATACTGTGACGAGCCCCGAGGGTGACGCTTCTCTAATCACTAAAGTTTACGTGGGATACATATTTTGAGGCTTTGACAATGTTGGTGGGATAGTCTCACCTTCAACACTCCCTTCTACAGCATGTGAACTAAGGCTTTTAAGGCACTTGAGACATCCCGCAAAAATTGATTTCTCTAGATATTGCACTGCGATTTACTACAGAGGTGCCAGCGGGTGTTGGAGGTTTACAAAGGAAACAATTCGAGAAATAAACTTACCTTGTGCGGAGGAAAAACAAAACAAAAAACATAGACCTGTCCCTGGGCAATCTATGCCGCCACTTTGCAGACGATGCACGCCTACTGAGAAGTGCTGCCGATGGATGGCATACTCTGCTTGGAAGGAGTGCCGACCAGTTCGGGTTCTTTTCCGGGATTGCCTGCTGTCAGAATCTGAATTGGCCAGTGCTCCCTCTTTTGTTGGCAGCTCCTCTCTTTACGCGTGTATCATCTCTGAAGTGGCGGCGTAGATTGCCCAGGGACAGGTTTCTGTTTTTTTTCTTTTGAGCGAGGTAAGTTCATTGCTTTATTTTTGTCGCTGTAAACTTCCACCATCTGCTTGCACCTCTGTAGTAAATCGCAGTGGAAAACGTTGAGAAACCGAGTTTTGTGGGCCGTCTAAAGTGCCTTAAAAGCGTTAGTTTACGTGCTGTATTTCAGAGATCTTGTCGATGTTTTGAGTAATCACTTCTTTGACGCGTAATCGTCCTCAAGCTGTGCCCAGCTTTAAGGGCGGCACTTGTCTATTCACGAAGTGGGGTAACACATGTTCGAGTTTTGGGAATGTTGGTGGGCAAGTGTCTTGCGCCGAATATATTGCCGCTCTATTTACGAGGTCTTTTGGACCTACTGTGAGATGTAACAGACATATTTTTGCGCAATAATATTCTGCCATCCCTACTAAAATTTTGGAGCTTAGCTTGTATTAGCAGTACCAACAGAATTGGGTTGCACACTGGTATGCCAACATGACAACACGGTTAGGTTTGGTGACTGGCCATGTCAAACATACTGTAGCTAAGTACCATATAGATTGAATGCTCTCGCTGCGCAATCGAATATTATGACTGGATGCTACTTCTACTGGTTTTGCTGTTGTGCTTTCCTGTAGTGCACAGCTAGAAAGGGGAAGTTTGCGACACAATTGAGAAGAAAGATGCCTTAAATTTATGGCAAGCAGAATTCGAAAGCAGTGCCAAAAGAAGGTCTGTGAATAATAGAGTTTTGAAGACTCGATCAACCATTCCTTCTGTCCTTCTGTGAAGAAAGGGAGCATGTTGTTGGAGGTTGTAAAAACAAAAAAGAGCGGACATAGTTTGAGTGAAGGCTGTGCACACACTGACCTTCCTTCCTTTTGTCTCTGTTATTTCATATATGTACAATCTAATCTAAAAAATGAGCATTAAATGAACCTGCTTGTTGTTAATGGTGGTAGGGTAGCATAATTACTTTGTTTGTAAACGCAAATACAAATCCAGTGAGCCACTGTTTAATAAAGTGCTAATCTACAAAGCATTTTTTTGGTGTTTGCAGTTTGAGAGGAAACAATTTGCTGAGCAATCATTTTCTAAACTCCTTGCTCTCAAGTGTCCCTCTGTCTATTTGAAGGCTCTTGCCTTCAAAGTGGTAGAGGGACACTTGGCCTCTTGCATTTTGCGGCAGATTAGTTTACAAGTTTACAACCATTCATAAGGAAGATGGGACTGCTTAACCTAATTCATTGCAGCTATGCGTGGCTCAATGCTACCAAATGTACACCTAAGCTGAAGAAGAGAAACATTTAGGTGCCTGAGAAACTCAGAGTGCCATATTTTCCGGACTATACACGTTTGCAAGTCCGGTCTCAGGGCGCCGCCATCTTCCTCAGTGGGGTGCGCTCTCGGGAGCGGCCATAATCCGATTACGACGCCTTAGCAAGGCTTCGTAATCGGATTATGACTGGTCCAAGTGCACCCCAGACAGGCAAGATGGCAGCGCCCTGAAGCCGGACTTGCAAACGTGTATAGTCCGGGGACTATGCATGTTTAAAAATGAAAATTGCGTGCAGTGCACTCTGTCTACAGGTGCAGAATATACCAGAGCTGTTCTGTCAGAATGCATCTTGCAAACATTTTTTTTTTTTCTTTGACCTAAAATTTGTTTTTACAGTCTATACACAGGGTGTGGACCATAGTTTGGTACTCTAAGGGAACCTTGAAAGGAGTCTAGGGAACTGCTGGGGCTTATCTACCAAACTAGGGAATCCCCTTGACATTCTAGGGAAATCCTGGGAGTAGTTTTCGGAAATTCGATGAAGTAATCGGAGGTAACCTCGCACATGCTCTGTCAAGTTGGGTGCTACGAGAAATCCCATGGGTACCGTGGGGAAATACTGGCGGTGCTCTGCGGAACATCCTCCCTAAACTTGGGTATTCCGGGGAACCGTGTCGGAGATTTTCCCGTTCCAAAACTGTGCTAACGCAGGAATTGGTTCCACATCTGCGAGCTGTGCCGGGTCAAGGCTGGTCCGCTGCAGAACTTTGTGGACCACCTGGAGGGACGCAAGCACAAGCGGGAGCTTGAGATGTTCCGGCAAAAGTGGGTGGATGCCTAGCCGCCCCTGGTTCCGCGTCCCCGTCGTCTCTGAAACCATCCCCTGCCGTCTTACGCTTGCAGTTAGGTGTCGGTAAAAGCTGTGCTCTGCTGCTGCCAACACTGCTGGTACTGTGCGCGTTCTGCGTCTTGTTGTAGTGGTGGTTCTTATTGCCGTGTCCTTTATAACGTTCTTCATTCTTAGTTTGTTCCGTGTAAAACCATAAGTTAGCGGAAGTTTTTTAAAAAATCAAACAAAACCCAAGCTTTCTTTGCTAAGTTTTGCCAGGACTTTTTTTTTAATTTTTATATTTTCTTAATTTGATTTTTTTAAGCAAATTTTGCATTGACTTTCGCTCGTTCATTTATTCTCAATTGGGTTAGGTCTGCAGTGGTTACACGGGAGCAGACTGAAGCACTTTATTTTACATTCCTCTATCCGCCTCATCTCAATTATAAAGTATCCTGTGATTCTGATAGGACTCTAACTGAGGTGATTTCCGCAGCTAAGAAACACAGCTTCGGAAGTTTGTTAAAGGACATATGCAAAGGAAATTTTTTTTTTTTTAAACGGCCTGGATAAAAAAGGGTAACATAAAATAAATTTACAATGGAAGAAAAAAGATGTCTTGGAGCTATATTTACGGCACAAAACAATTTTGTAGTTGGTGCCCGCAGGAGCCCGTGGAAAAGTGGCTGTTATAGTCGCGTGGTGCTTGCGCTCGTTCGAGAGCTTCCTACGGGCTCTAAACGTTACTCATTTATCTTTGTTTTAAGTGCAACAAGAAACGGAGCTTAAAAAGTAACTTTTAGAGTCCATCGGAAGCTCTCGAGAAAGCGCAGGCGCCACGCGATAGATCTGCGTGCCGGTCAGAATTTGAGAGCGGCGTGTTCTTTTCCGGAGTGTTCTTCTCCGGTGGCAGCGTGGCGAGATGCGTTCAGCTGGCGGCGCACCCTGTTCTGTGTGCCGCAGCGGCGTGGGGCTTCTGGGGACTTCCGCGGCGGCGCTGAACAACTCTGGCGTAACGTGCGGGTGCTCCCAGTGGCGCCAACTACAAATTTGTTTTGCGCCGTAAATATAACTCTAAAAAAAAAAAAAATTTCCTTTGTAAATGTATTTTATGACATCCTTTACCCATCTAGGCTGTTTAAAAAAAAAAATTTTTCTTTGCATATGTTTTCTAAAAAAGGAATGCACAAATCTGCTGTCCCCAGCTCAAAGAAAAGCTCGTGACGTACTGTGTCCTTGAGACATACTAATATTACATTATATCCATTTATGCATTCCCGGACATTCATTATTTAAACATTCCTAATATAATTAAGCGTTCAATGTTACGTGAGCAAAGAACTCTGTGGAGCACTTATAGCTGCTTCACTAAATACAAACTTCTATTAGGACATGGACATGAAGACGAGGCATGCATTTTTAAATAATGCCAACTTCGTGTAAATGCTAGGTCACTTATAATAGGCAATGATTATTACGCAGCTTTCGTAACTTTTGAGCTGTGCTAAACAGGTTGACTGAATGTTTCAGAAATGTCAGTTGTTTCAAAGGAAGTTTGGGGCTGTACCTTAGAAGCTCTTCCAATCCTGAATGTTCTGTGGGCCTTCGATGTTAATTAATTAACAGTGTAAGCAGTGTTGCTTTATTAACACTCTTTCTTTATGCAGAGTTACATGCTCTGAAATGTGGGCTGTATGTAACATAGCCAAGTATTGCCAGACTCTCTGAAAAGTTTTTCGACTTCATCTTTTTGGGGCGATTCCTCAATTAACCTTTTGCCTACCACAAAAATTTTGGAAAAAAACTATATGAAAATACTGAATTTTTTTTATGTGCCCTATAAATTTAATATGGAATACAAAGGCCAAAAACAAATGCCAAAATATGTATTATATGAGAAATCTTTCAACACACTGCAAAAGAAAAAGGGACTAAACTTCCGCTTCACTGCATTACCGCAGACACTTCACATAGCCTTGCACGTGGACGTTCAGGCCGGGCGTAGCAGTACTGCAGACAGTTCACATCACCTTGCACGCAAAGTGAACGCAAAACGTGGAGGGGCTGGATGGGGATTTTCTACATTGATTCTGGTCCAACGCCGACAGAATGTCTTCATCGAAATCGGAGTTGTCTGAGCTAAAATTTAATAACCCAGGTGCATCGCTCTCACTGTTCGATAAAAGATTCATTTCCTCGTTTTCTGAATCTGAAGAGACGTCACACTATCTTCGTTTTTGCCCCATTTTGTGGCAAGATTGTCACTACGAACGCAGCGACGAGAAGTTAATGCCGCCATTTTTTAATTCCCTGTTGCATGCATTGAAACAATTTTCTGCGCGGTTCAGAAATTTACCAGGTTTTTATTTTCCGCGAAGCGTCGTCTATGCGTGGCAAAGCTCACTAGAAACACGTGGACTAGTCCAGTTCGTCCATGGTGGCGTATTGGAGCCCGAATGAACGTGGACGAGCCCAGCTCGTCTTCGGGGGGAGCGGTACAAACAGTGTGGACGAACCCAGGTCGTCCACGGTAGGGAAAGGGTTAATGTTTTATAACCTGCTTAAAGAAATCTAAATTACACACAGGTGACCTATTTTCGTACAAAAAATGTGACTAAGGTTGTGGCAAGCCTCTCTTTTGCGAAAATCGTGTTTTTGCATAAAAATATCTGTCGAGACCTTTTCATCGCATTGTTTATAGGAAAATAGACTGCGCGTGATCGTGGATTTGGGTTTGTCAGGACACTTGGGGCACATGGATGGAGCTCTCACCATAAAAAAGCAAACTCTGAAACCTCATAAGCATCTTGGCACATGAAAACATATGAGAGAGTTAGACAGAGAGGACGGACAGCACAAACATCTTTCGAGGTTTGTCCTGTCCGTCCTTTTTGTCTAACTCTTTCGTATTTTGAAATCTATTACCAGCACGCTCAATTCAAGTTTGGCACATTTCCAATGACTTTTTAGAGGGGCTTTTTTTTTTCTTATTTCTTTGACCAAACGTTTTGAACAGTCCCCTTTTGTTTGGAGTCTCGTTTTGGGTTTTCCCAAATATGCGTTTGTCTTCTGTGCAGAAACAAGCAAAAGGGAAACTCGAAAACTCCAAAAGCGGCCAGCAAAAAAAACAACAACAGAAACAACAGCAAGGCGCAGCAGAACCAAAAGAACCAGAAACGACAGAAAGCCCAGCCCAAGAGAAGCGGACCCCCGAGAAACAACCACAACAAGCGCCTCGAGGAGCCACCAGAACCCGATTGCCGGCAGTCCGCCGAAGAAGCCCAATCCCGAGAGATCGGTCGGAAGAGCGAACGCAGCCGGAGAAACGAAGCAGTCGAAAGCAGCAGCGGCGAGCACCGAGATTTGCCCGAGCACCGACAGAGGGAGCGTCTGGGCGAATCGGGCCGATCAACAGAGCGTCCAAGCGAGTCGGGCCGATCAACAGAGCGTCCAAGCGAGTCGGGCCGATCTACAGAGCGTCCAAGCGAGTCGGGCCAATCAACAGAGCGTCCAAGCGAATCGGTCCGTTCAAGGGAGCATTCGAGCGAATCGGACCGTTCAAGAGTGCGTCCGAACGAATCGGGCCAATCAGGATCGGCGGCCCAATCGTGGGCCGAGGATTCCGGGGAGCGTTCGAAGTCAGCCGAGAGGAGCTTCAGTTGTCCGGAGAATCAGCAGGGAGAGACGTCGTTTGGGAGCGAGGGAAGCATGGAGAACTTTAATTGGCACAGGCCTCCGCCAATGCCGCCCCACCGTCCGATCCCTCCGCACCTGAGTCGGAGGGGTTACAGGGGGCCCGCCGATCAGGAAGGGAACCAGTGGCGGATGCCGGGGCTACCTCCGTACGACCCATACTTTTCCAGGAGCAGGGACTTTGACAGGTGAGTGACAACCGTCGATCATTAAAGGAGCTGTGCAACAATTTCAGGGCTTTGCTTAAAGAATTGTGGAAGTTGATGCCTGACACTTCTGCAGTGAGCTACAGAAAACAGATTTTGCCTGGATACCCTAGTTTTTATTTTAAAAAATGAAAAAGATCCAGGTTTTTGCCGCCTCTCAACTCGTGCATCGTCTTCCGGGCCACGTGCGCAGCAGGGCCGTAACCAGGGGGCGGGTTAGGGGGTTCTGACCCCCCCCGAAATTTTTTTCTGGGTACGGCCCTGGTCGGTGCACTGGCAGTCAGCCGATTTTAATCTCCACCTCTGCGCACGCGCAGTGGCGCCGGTCGGCTACCGGGTACCAAACCGGGACCGGTTCTCCGGTTTGCTGTAACTCTCCATTATATGCCATCGATGCACATGATTCATAGGCGAAAATAAGACAATAGACACTTTCAAAATGGCCACCGTTGTCCCCAAAAACCCCCCCCCCCCCCCCCCCCCCCCCGAAATTTTTTTCTGGGTACGGCCCTGGTGCGCAGTGACGTCACTTGAGTAGGCGCGGGGTTCCGGAAAAGTTCTCTCTTTAGAGCCATCAGCGAGCAGGGAGAACTCATCCGCTCGCGACCCGCGTGACCACGTGCTGGCGGGCGCCCCGCGAAATATGCGGTGAAAGAAGGAAAGTCTCATCCGGGTCCGGCCATACCCGTCCTTGCCCGTCCGGCGCTGTCCCCTCCCCCTCCGGCTTCTGGCGGCTATTCGCAGTCTTGTGGACCTAGGATAGACGGCGCCACTAAAACTCCGTATAATAAAAGTTTTGTCGATGATACCAGGGTTTTGACGCAATTATATATATGTTGGAACGACAAGATTTATAGAAAAGTTACCTTTTATCGAGCAGGTATTCGCGCAACTTGCTATCTTTTTTACAACTACCCAAGCGACGTCACGCCGCTTGTTTCTCATGGCCGCCGCTCGTGGCTGCAGGTCGGGAAATATTCCAAGTTTTGCCTCGCTATTACGCGGCGGAATCGCAACGTTTCGATGAAAGGAGGTGTGTTTTCTGTCATTAGTGACACAGCGAACAATATCAAAAGTGGAAAATGCCAATTCTTTCAGCGTGAAAATCGTTGCACAGCTCCTTTAAACAACTCTACCCTTTTGACAGGATCAGACTGCAGGACATCTCTTTCAGTTGATTGTCCTCCAGCATGCATAAATGTTGAGGCTGGGTGAAGCGTAGTAAAAGAAACACGATAGGCAAGAACCCTTGCTCCCTCTTCCCGTACAGATACCCCCGTCCCCCCATGCCCAGAGGAAGAGGTCGTTGGCACGGGAACGGCAGTGGAGGCGGTTACGATTACTGCGCCTTCAACGACGGAGGGCCACCCCCATGGATGAACGACCATCTCCCTTACGGGTGGTCCCCGGAACCTTCCGGCAACCGCGAGAGTTTGCCGGGAAATCCGGATCCTAATTCGGCCCGAACGCCCGTGAGGACCAAAATAGCCATTACCGAAGGGTGGCTCAGCGAACCGTACGTGTCCCGTAAGGCGTCTTCGAAAGAAGATGCCGGCAGCAGTGTGCCAGATGCCTCAGCCGCGAAGTCAGCGCCGCCCAAGGCTAACGACAAACCGAAAGCCGCGGGAGCTTCGGGACAAACGGCACAAGCTGTTCCGAAGCCGGCGGTGACTGCGGCATCCGTCAAGGCAGCATCATCCCCAGCTTCCACATCAAAGCCCGCTATCACTCCGAAAGCCACTCCTGCGTCGAAACTGGCTTCCGTGCCAAAGTCGGCTTCCGTACCAAAGTCGGGTTCCGCACCAAAGTCGGCTTCTGCGCCAAAGTCGGCTTCTGTGCCAAAGTCGGCCTCTGCGCCAAAGTCGGCTTCCACGCCAAAGTCGGGTTCCGCGCCAAAGTCGGGTTCCGCGCCAAAGTCGACTCCCGCGCAAAAGCCGAGTTCGGCGCTTAAGTCTGCACCATCGCCAAAGTCGGCTCTGGAACCAGCGCCGGACGCAGCAAAGAGCGTCAAGAAAGAGCCCGAGCCGCAGACGCCGGAATTATTCACTCCGTTGCCTGCCGACCGGAACCACCACATCTTCGTGTCCTCCTCCGAAGACGAAGCCTCGGAGACGACCGAGACGGCGCCGAAGAAGATGCCGAAGCCGACCGATGGCGGCAGGGACTTCGCCGCGGCCCCAAAGCCCCGGAAAAGGGCGGCAGACAAGGTTGCGCCAAACACGCCCGAACGGGCAGCCGCCACGCTGCCGAGGCAGTCCCCGGTGCGCAAGAGCCCCAAAGGGGGCGCCGTCTCGACGAAGGACGTCTACCGCAAGGACGTTCTCGACAAGCTGGTCAACTTCCCGTCGTCGCGCAAGGTGCAGACGCAGCTCACCAAGTGGATGGTGGACCTGCACAAGAGCCACAAGGGAACGGCGCCGCGCTCTGCCAGCCTTCGTCTCTGCACGACGCGCAGCCTCCTCGGGCAGAGCGCCGAAGACGAGGTGGTCGGCGAGATCGACTTCGACAGCCTGATTCAGCAGGTCCAAGTCGGGGACCTCCCGGAGGAGATGCTGAGGAGTCTCAAGATGGCGCTGAGCTCGGACACCGAGCAGGCGGCGGCTTCGGACGACACGCACAGCTTCTTGTCGGACGACGAGTGCGTGGTGCTGCCCACGCCAGAAAAGGTGGTGGTGTCGGTGGACCTCGTGGCGGACTCGGACCGCGACACCGGCACGGAGGACGAGGCGGCGGCGGTGAAACCGAACCCGGGCACACCTAAGGTATGTTAACCGGGAGAAATGTTTCTTTGCTTTTTAAATGCGTTGGAATTTGTTCCCCTGGTGCATGCTGCCGTCTTTTGTTTGGACAGTGGCGAACTGGTTTTGTGAGACTGCGGCACGGTTCCTGCCATGCTTTTTCACTTTGCTCGTTGTGTCCCCTTTCCCTCTTACACTAGGGCGTGTTCTGGCACGCTTTTATTGAGGCATTGTGGGAGGAAGCTGTGGTGGCTGCGTCCAAAACCGTCGACGCCTGGGAGCACAGATTGGCTCTCCAAAAACAATGTTATATGGGCCGTTGCGAGGTTGGATTTTCTACCCTTCGCCGAGTCCGAACCCTCGCGCTAAATGCTAATGCATTTCGTTGAGAATCGCCGTACTGACAGCGGCGATTTCGGCACCATTCGCAGCGGTAGCTGTTGGTGCCTCTTCCCGGCAAGAAAGGCTCCTGTACAAATACAAAACCCTACTCTACAGCAGGGGCACTGCTCTCCCTCTTCCCGTCGTTCCTCGTACGTGGCAAAGCTCGCTCTCGCTTCTCCCTGGCCCTTTCCCCCCTGTAGGCCGCCACTTTTCTGCTAAAACCCAGGTGATCGTGAAGAGGACTCTCCCTTTCTTCCCCCTCCTTAACCCCTCTAGCAGCCGCCAAGGAGAAATACTTATGTGGTCACTCCGAGCGAACACGTTCCCTCACCTCCCCACTGCCACCGCCCGAGGTATGTACACGAGCTGTTCCGTGCGGCTCTACAGAGCAGTCCGCGTCCATCGTTTCTCTTCCACCTTAGGAGCAGTCACCCACTTTGTAAAAAAAGTGTGTTTCTACCAAAAAGAAACAAAAAACAATTGCATCTCCACGTGGTGAATGATGTTGATTGGGGCGAAGTTCTGGTGGTGCTTATCTGCATAGACGCTGAGCCGCAGCATGCCGAGCCTTTCGTTCGTTTTCATCCATGCCACGCTGCGGTCAAATGCTCGAATGCGTATATAACCCCGTTCCATACCACACATTCTCTTTCTGACATGGATGAAAACGAACGAAAGGCTCGGCATGCTGCGGCTCAGCGAGCACCACCAGAGCTTCGCCCCAATCAACATCATTCACCACGTGGAGATGCGGTTGTCGTTGTTTTTTTTTTTCCCTACACGAGCACGTGCTCACGTGCTCGTGAGCATGAGCACCCGACGCCAAACATCGGACGGACGTACGGACATGGCTAGCCCCTAAGGAGCTTCGCCCCTAAAACGTGTCTTTATGTCTTTCTCTAGCATATGCAACACCTCGCACAATCCTTCCACCAAAGCCCACATCTCCTCACATGCATCTCATATCAGTTCCACTGAAAGCAAAGAACCCATTGCAAACATTGTACTGCGCTCCAGCTGAATGCAAATCTCCTTCCACGTGCCTTTCCACAGTGCAGCAGCTACCGCTGTCAATCGCGGCACATTTTGCGTGGTCATTAGCAAGATCTTTTTTCACTCGCCCCCGTCCTCCTTGGCACATTTTGTATTTCTCCCGTAAACATAGACCAGCACCCGTATCGCTACTTTTGCTGAAGCACCTGTTGGCATTGCACGGGGAAGGGGATGTGAAGGTGCCTCGGGACCCAGTACACAAAAGTAGACTTTGTGATGCAGTTTCCGGAGAATTGGAAGGTTAGTATAACATTGATGAAGCAGGGTTATTACGGTACATTGGAAAGTGACCTAGCTCTTGATGCGTAGCACATATTTTTCATTGTGGTGATTAAAGTACTGCATTGAAGCGAGGGATGATCATAATAATGTTGCTGTGCACATGTCGCGTGACTTTTGTGAAACTTTACGCTATTCTTAGTTCAGGCAGATATTCTTAACTAGGGTAAAGAGCATGGACATATAAGAGACTCTTATTAAGTCTCCTTTGTTATTCATTGTCAACTTTAGACTAGGTTTCTCACTCATCCGTCGTAAGCCGATCGACCTCTTACGAAAAATTGACACTATCCAGTGGCTAAAGCTCTAGCTGTTGCGTCAGGTTTGTTTGCCAGCTTGCTCGAATGGATTACATATTCAAAGCACCTGGCAGTCTAAGCACGAAGCTCTGAAGGCAGTTTTAAAAATGTGTGCCGGAAACCTTTTATACGTACTGACCTACTTCGTCGGGTGATACTTTGCCATACCTTTGGGACCGCACCTTCATGTTCTTTTCTGCACATACCCTTTTTCTCTTTCTCTCCAATCTCAGATATGGGATCATACATTCACGCATTCATTTATGCCCTCTTAGTGTGCGACAAACATGCTCTAGTGTTGTGTTTCCTGCAGTACACATGCTTAAAAGCTGAAAGCGTGCGTCTTGCAAACTACCGGCAGGCGCAGGGTATACAAGAATTTATTTTTCTAGATAGTTGAATACGACGGGATGTGATGAATTTGCTGAATGACGGAGTATATGGACAACGATTTATGTTTGGCACAAGCTTCTCCGCGAGCTAATAATGCAGGCATTTCTAAAGGTGTGCTTTGTACGATAATTGCTTAGGTGCTGATATGCTCCAGGTGTGGACTATACATCAGGTGCGGTCTATAGTTCAAATAATATGGCACTATGTTCACTATGGCTCACAATTGCTGTAGGCTTCTGGTCTGCTTTACGACACCATTGCTGAGACTGGGAAGGATTCTTTGGCTATAAACCTTTCTCCCCAGTCTTGTATATGGTATCTCGCTTATCTTCTCTCCTGCAGGTTGCAGTTGGTTGCAAGGAAGTGCCCGCTGCTCCAAAGGCAGACGAAGCGATCGGCAGGCTCACGAATGCAGACGTCGACAACGTACGAAAAGCAAAGCCAGTCCGACGGAAAGCCAGACTCGGGGATAAACAGCGCACCACAAGGGACGAAGAAGAGGATGGAATGTCGAGCCACCCTGTCACCGAAGTTCCGTGCGACCAGCCACAAGACCAGCCTCTACCACGATCCAAGACCTCTACTCCTCTGGGAACACCAAGGCCGCCGTCTGCCTCGGCCGACGGACAGCAGCAGACGACGGCCAGGCAGACGACTCCGCTCCCCAGTTCGTCCGGTCCTGGGAAGGTAATGTCCTGGAGCGGCACAGTTTGTTCTAGACAATCTGCTCTCAGATCACTGTACTGTTGAGCGGCAGCCATTGGACCAACTTGTGCCCCCCTTTCATGTGTCTTGCGGTGAGACAGTCAAAAGCTACAAACTTTGTCAGAAGTAATGAACACTCTTTGGATGTAGGCGGGAGGTGTGGATTTAGTTGTGGATCTATGCACGACTCATTTTTGACTCTATGCACGTAGGCGCCTTCCCCGCTCCCAGCCTCCCTGGCGCCACCCGCGATCACGAAGGTGGAGCCGGGGCTGGCGTCGGCCGCTCAGGGCAGTGCCACGCCCCCGCTCAAGGGCCTGGTGGACGAGCTGGTGCAGCTGTGCCACGAGGAGGACCAGATCCGGCTGCAGACAGCCGCGGTTGAGCAGAACATCGCCAGCGTCACCCTCACCCTCGAGGAACTCAAGAAGAAGAGGGACGAGGTGAGGAAAAAGGCCGCGTCGTGCGGAGCACCGGCTACGAGGCGCAAGCCGGTGCGCGAATTGAAGGCTGTAGCTGTTGGGGTGGGCGCTTCCAACTGCTCCGTTTGAGGCCGCGTGATTTGCAGGCTGCACTGAAACACCAATGGACTTCTTCCAAAACCGACGCGCCCCATCGCGGCGAAATACCACGCAGTGCACTCTGGGAACTAGTTGGCCACTCAGTTTCGGTTTCGGCTGAGCAGCTTCATCTCATACTATCACGCCGCGACCGAACGCGCTGCTTGCGTTTTCGATTATCTGACTTTTCACGAACGTACAATACACTCATTCTCGAGCCATACAAAACGAAGATCGGGGCACTTTCCTTGGTTCCCAAAACACCGGATATTGTGCGTGCATATGCAAACGTAGTAAGATGTGGCTTAGTCACCTGACCCCACGAGTGCATGTTTGACCTCAATTTCAATAATCCCGTCTAGTACCACTGAACTAGAACTGAAATTTGTTCATCTGCAGCCTTTCACCTATTTTGTTTGCCAAACGTCCGCTTCTCGTTACTTCATTGGGCGAAAAGCAAGCCGCATCCTCACAGGGTATCAAAGTTGAGCCCAGCGTTTACGCATAGAGTTATTATAATTTACGCTAGAGGTTCAAGTGGCGCTAGTGTGCTGACGCAAATTGAAGCAGACAGCAACCAGTCCAAAACTGACTTCCGGTAATGCATTCCTATGCGCAAAAGTGAGTGAATTTTCTCTCTGCGCTCGATCATAAGAGCAAATATCATAAAATAATTCGTACGTACTAGGTAGCTTAGAACATTTTTCAGTCAGGCCGACGAAAAAATTGGTCAGTTACGGCGTTTTTCTTTCAAATTCATCGCATTAAAAACGGTGCTAAAACGACTTCGTACGTGTATTTATGTGCACTGTCGGACACTATTAGCGCGAACACGACGTCGGCGCTTTTCAGCATGAGGGATACACGTGCCAAACGAATGAAGAACATCTGAAAATTAAGGGAGACAGCAAGAACTATGCAGTAACACTGGATCAGTAACTACTTGTGCATGTACGATCAAAATAAATTGAACGCCACGTAATCTATTCCGATTTTAAATAAGTAAGTATCCTTTATTCTTTCTCCTCTGAGCGAAGATATGTTTGTTCTACGTTCAAAATATCACCCGCACGCTCGAAATCTTTAAGGCCAAGTGCCCGATAAAAGCTGCCCGGCAGAGAAAACAACACGAAGAGACACCTTTTATAGCTCACGGACTTTATTCTCTAGGGTTTGAATGTTTTTATCCGCTAATGCACGACGGGGTCATTTTCATATAGTGACAGGACTGGCATATTGTCAATATATAAGCGTTACCGGAATGCTGGTGAACCTTGAACACATTCTATATTCCATTCGATTGCAATTTTGCTTTGAATCGTCGCTTGTTTTTACACACCTGCTGCGGAACACACGTTTTGGACTGAAATGTAGCGAAGTTAAGCATCGTTCACCGATGAAGAAAAATGCGCTAACTAAAGCAATTACACTTTTACAGTGTTAATCAAGGTGTATACTATTCGATACGACCCAAATAACCAAAGTGTTCCGTGTTAGTTTTAGCCGAAGAAGCAAAATGCACGCGCGTTTTCCCATAGGAATGCACAGGAGCACCGCAAAAGTAGACTGGTTGCTGTCTGCTTCAATTTGCGTCACGGAAGTCGCATAGACACTAGCGCCAGTTGAGCCTCTAGCGTACATTATAATAACTCTATGCGTTTACGCATGAACTTTTAAGGAAACGCAATAAATTCGACCTCACCACTGTTCAACAGTTAATATGATGTCTTCCTCGTGTCATCATATATCTCCCACTCAAATTTTATATTGATAGAAGATTAACTTTTCGCAAACGCCGAGATCGGCCAGCTACGACGGAGGCCCTAACAAGCGTCCCCTACTCCTCGCTAAGCCTTTTTGGACGACTTTTTACTGACGCCCAAGATCTGTGCCTGAACGGTGTGTCTGGAATTATCTCGGCATACTCAGTCAGGAAGAAAGCAAACACATAACAAATATTATGGCCCTTAGCAACCTTGTCAAACCCGCTTTGAATTCGTTCGTTTGGCGCACCACATAGGGGTTCATGCCCGTTCGGCGCACTTCCGGCAAACGGTGCGACATTCTTCACACAAGTGCTCGACTTTTGCTTTCTTAAAACGGTTTGTATGTGCGAATGAGCCTATAGGATTGCAGGATAACTTTATGCGCATACGCGATGTTGAATATTAGTGAAATGCAAGCGGGTGGGGACTTCACGAATTCGTGCAGTGCTGCGGGTCAGTACAGATAAGAGATGAGAAGTGTGTTAAAATGGAGCTTTTCAATGGCGACTCCGAGTTTTACCTCGCATACTCAGGCATATTAAGAAAAACAGTAATTGCAAAAAGTAATATTTCGTCTCTGGGTGCACAAAACAAACAAACTTCCTGATCAACAACACTAATGTAAAGGCGCGAGTATGCATACTTATTTGTTGCTACAGCTTGTTGATTCGTACACAAGCAAGATCCCCGAGCTTTGCAGCGTCGAGATTCCCAGCACTTGCTCGTCCACATACCTCGATTGGAACGCTAGCAGGAAGGCTCAAGTACAAAATTACAACAAGCATGTGTTAAGACAAACTATACGTCTCAGGCTTGTGCTAAAGCTTCGAGGTCTGGCCATTTAGGTTAGTTTATAGACCACAAATGCCGCTCTCAAAACCAGAAAACGTGAGATAACGGCCGTTAATAGTCCACGCTCTGTGTGTAATCTCTTGTCGACGTGTCGATCGAAACCGAAACCATGCCACCCTCCTCCCTGGCCAACTAGTTCCCAGAGTGCAACGCGCGCCGTGTTGCATGCAGGGCCTTATGGAAGTGGTCTATTGTACACAAGCCCTGGCTCTACACTGACGCAGCAGTCGTGCCTCATCTGTATAGGCCTTGCGCTGGGTAAACACCGAGTTCTGTGGAAAAAAGGGGCAGACAAGCGCCCCCTACATTTTGATCTCTTTAATATCTATCCACCCATCCGTTCATCCACTTTCGTTTCACCCCAACGATAAACTGCACCAGATGCAATACTAGAGCATGTCGGCCGTTCTGGCTCCTGGAGCGTGTCACAAGGCCTTGTGCGTTCCAGCGTTCAGCCTGAGAGTCGTGCGTCTTGCTCTCAGCGCTGGATTGGTTGGGATGGTCTGGTAGCATCCATTCTGGTTCATCCTAGGGCGAAATGTTACGAGAGTACTACATTTTTGTGTACTTCGTTCACCCCTAAGCCGAGACTGCGGTAAAAGCTACGTCCAGTCATGTGCCTCTCTTCCACCACGTCATCAGCCATACCCCCGTGCGGAAAGCCGGGTCAGGTGATAAGAGGGTGGCGGCTGATTGGTTCAGCAGGCACGTCAGTCTCACTGCCGTGGGAGTACTGTGTCTGCTTGACTGGAACAATCGAGCCAACCAAGCCATCATTGTTGCCAATGTTCGCCACGTTGGTGCTGGAAAAAGCTCCAAACAGTGGGTGGATCATGGCCTGTCTGAATGTAATAGTAAGTGTTCTTCATAGGTGCATTGGTTTTTTGCTGGGGCTTTATATAAAGTATCCCTTAAAGGACACATGCAAAGGAAAAAAAAATTTTTTTTTAAACGGCTTAGATGGAAAAAGGACGCCATAAAACGATTTTACAACGAAGAAAACAAATTTTTAGAGCTATATTTACGACGCAAAACGAATTTGTAGTTGGCGCCCGCGGGCACCGCGGAAAAGTGGTCCGTATTTATCACGTGACTGGTCTTTATTTATCACGTGGTGCTTGCGTTCTTTCGGAAGCTTCCTATGGCCTCTAAAAGTAACTTATTCATCTTTGTTTGATGTATAACAAAAAACTAAGATGAATAAGTAACTTTTAGAGCTCAAAGGAAACTCCTGAAAAAGCGCAAGCAGACGTGATAGACCTGTGCGCCGGTCAGACGACGGCGGCGGCGCCCCGAAGCAGACGGACTTGTGCGGCGGCGGCGACGGCGGCGTGGAGAAACGCGTTGAAGCGGCGTTCGCACAACGCTCAGCGTGCGGCGGCGACGCAGCGCGGCGGCGCGCGGGCCTACCACGTGACCAGCGGCGGCTCCCGCGAGCGCCAACCACAAATTCGTATAGCGCCGTAAATATAGCTCTAAAAAATTTTTTTCTTCGTTGTAAAATCGTTTTATGACATCCTTTTTCCATCTAAGCTGTCTAAAAAAAATGTTTTTTTCCTTTGCATGTGTCCTTTAATCTAATCCGCTTCGCTGGAACAAACGAGCTGGCTTTTGGCCTGTGTGCCCGTTTGTGGTTTGCTCGATTCAAACGCTAAGAGCCACCACATTGTAGCCATTTATTTAAGCGAAATGCCGGAGTTTTTTTCCGTAGCATTTTATGTACAATGGCATTTTTATCCTTCTCTTCTACAGTTGCTCTCCAGAGAAAGTCGGGTCAGGAAAGCAAGGCTGGAGAAGTTGGAGTGCCTTCAAGGTGTGTGCTTCACTTATTGTTTCATAAAGCACATCTTCAAAAAGCAAGTGTACAAAAACTAGGGATGGCCTGGGGCTGAAGAAGGGGAAGACTCGGGGAAATTTCCTGGGGATAATGGTCTGTGAAGCATGCAGAGTTGCCAAAGTCCCTAGAATTCTGCCGTTTCGTGTTTTCTCCGATGGGTTTGAGGACGGCCCTGTTCCTCAAGTTTGTTAAGCTTTTCATTAGATGTTCCACCAACGGTGTTGAGCAGGTACGGAAATCAAGGTACTCGTGGCTGCTGCTTTTCACCGACCTAAACACTCGCACCTTTCACTCTTGTTTTACAGCGGAGCTGTTAAAAGGGCCCTGCAATCATATTTAAGCGTCAACCTTTTTTTGCTGTTTCCACGTCTCTTGGGGTTTGGGCAAGCCAGCGGGCACGGAGAGAGTAACTAGATATCAGTGCGTCGTATTTTAAGCGGGCGACGCGGAAACCTCCTCCACCGACGAGGGCGACCCGCATTGCCGAATGCGCGCAATGTGTGACGTCTTTGGTCCTGGGCTTACTACTGGTCCGAGCCGCTAAAAGGTTTTTTTTTAATCGAGATACAAAATATCAGTGTCGCGAACCATTTTAATTATTTGTAAAAGTAGTTTTTGTTCAGTAGTTTAGATCAGGAAAGAGACCCGTCGACAAACCCGCCACCAAGCGGCGGAAAAAACGGCGCATACTACAAAGGGCTAGTGGGACGGGGCTCCGACGAACAGCGAGCGTAGAAAGGTCCCGGATGTATGCGGCGGCACTGCGGCCGTATACCGGCTCGAGGATCCAACTGGTTCCGAGCGTTCCGAAGGCTTTTGGCGCAGGCTTGGCTGGCGATTTGGCCGTTTGGCAGTATGGCAGCGCAAAGTGGCCCCCTTTCTGAACTGATCCTTATCCCGTGTTTGCTGTCGTTTCTGGCCAATGATGTGTCAGGCCGAATTAGTCTTTAATCGCGCAGCAAATGCAATGCGAGCCACCCTGGCCGCCCGCCTCATACAGCCTATCCAACCCGTGCTTAGTGGTGCCCTCTCGAGCCGTCGACACGGAGTGCGGCAACCATGAGCGCTCGATCAGCTCACTACTCCTCCTCTAGTTCACGGCCACTGAAGGGAGGACCTACGACGTCATGAAGGAGGTTATTTTTTGCTTGTTTTTGCAATTCTAATTTGCCTGTAACTTTTAATATAAAGCGAAATTTGAGAAAAGTTTCTTTAAGTTACTACGTTCAATGCGCTCAGGTTCGGTGCAAATTAAAAACCAGTCAAAAATTTGTTGCAGGGCCCCTTTAAGGGCTAGGTTCCCCAGGATCGTATCCGGTATGTCGACACAAACGTACCTGGACAGCTACCGCCATCTACAAGCGATGGCGGCAAGCACACAACCAGTTTGGTTTCCGCCGTCGCTCGTAGATGGCGGCAACCTTTCCAGCCATAATAGAAGAATGGATAGTTATGCGTGTTGACGGGAATTCATCGTAGGAAACAGCGCAAAAAACAGAAGACGACGATGAAGAAGCACACGTAACGAGCGCAGCGCTCGTCACGTTTGTTTCTTCGTCCTCGTCTGTTTTGCGCGCTGTTTCCTACGCTCTTATCAGTTTCGTTTTGGACTCACAATGGGTCGGCTGCGCGCCCCTTCGGGGAAAGGAGACAGGCTGTGGAAGGAGCGGCGACGTACGCAGCAGCGCGAATGGGTCCGCAACCGCCGCAAAGCCGCTGTCGCTTTGACTTCCACTGCGTCCAACGCTTCCGATTCCCTCGCCAAAGAGCACATCGCTCGCCTTGAAAGCCACCGCCAAGAACAGAACCAGCGATGTAAAGGGTGCCGGCAGGGCAACGCCACGGACGACGATCGTGCCAAGGAGGCCAAGCGCAAGCGCGAGGCCCAGCAACGACTCCAATCCACGCCGGCTGAACAGTTCCCGGGTGCGACGCAAGGTTCCGGAGGGAGTTTGTGGAGAACTCGTTTGGCGTCACGTGTGCCGTGTGCGACAGACTCTGGTTTGCCGGAGACGTATCCACGATCGGCGGCGTGTCGGACGAGAAGAAGAAGCGGGAATCGGGCGCGTGCGCGTTGCGGCAGTGTATCGAGTACAGCTCCGCCGGTCTTCCTTCTTCACGAGAGTGGAAAGGCTGAACGTTTTTTTAGCATTGTCTGTATGTTACCGAGCAGCGTCTGTAAATTTCTGTGCTGCTTTATTGCAAGAGCAGAAAGAAGGGAGGCTCACCTGCTTTCTCTCAGCCTGTCATGGGGGCTTTTCTGGAGAACCAAACGCTTTGAGAACCCATGGATTACAGAACGTTGACTGAAGCCCGTGTAACTCCTCCGACCACTCCAGGGGTGGCATCCCTGCACGGCGGACAACCGCTCGCATTTACGGACCACGCCCAAGCCTTCCCCACCACGACGGAGGTCCTGGCGTCCTTTGGCGGCTCGTCGGACCCTTTCAGCTTCCTCATGACGCCCTCCGCGTCTGCAGCACCAATGGTCTCCTCCACCCAGGCAAGTCCTCGGTGCAGAGCTCGTGGTGACGAACCACAGTGACCTCTCCTAAAGCGATAATTCAGGAACACGAAGTAAGGGTGCAAACGAACTGGTCGTAAATTGAACATAATAGCGAAGAGCCCCGAGACGCAGGCAAGAAATGAACGGCAGAAACACAAAGTCTCAAACGCAGCTGGAATTAGTTTCACAAAAGATTGCTTAATTAGTTTTCAATAAAAAAAAAGAAAAGAACAAAAAAAAACAGTAGACTACAGCTACCCTCTTTCCTTGCATAAGTTTGTTTCTTTGATAATTTGGTGCATCCTTGAGTTACCGTATTTACACGATTGTAAGTCGACCCCCCCCCACCCACATTGCACATCAGCAAAAAAAAAAAAGATTTTTAGAGCTGCACTTTGCAGCGAACTTGTGGGAATGGCAGGGTATCTCTTTCGAAAGCCCAGCCTCCAGCACGCGATCGATGCCTTCTGGCGTACTTTGGCTGCATATGCACGCGCGAGGTGCATCAGATGCCCAGGCGTTACCAAAACTAGGAAGCTCATGCTGGAGGCGGGATAACCGAAGCTGCTCCCTGTCGTTCTCACTCGGTCCGCGACTACAGACTAGGACTCGTCCGCACTGGTAATGTCAGTCCCGTCGTCCTCACCGCTACATTCTCAAAGCACGTCGGCGGCGGCGTCCAACAAAATCTCGCACTTCGCAAATGACAGCATCAACCGCATCCTCCGCTCTTGCTTGGTGATTGCATTGTGCGTCACAGGTAGGGACCGATTGCACACTTTTGCGGCGTACATTGCAAGCCTGACCTCCAACACCGGAAGGCATCCCCACCCATCCGGACTTTGGCTCGCGGAAGGCTCTTCCTTTGCCGTCGTAGTTAAATCCCGCGCCATTGCCGACTCCATCGGAGCACCACCCACTCCGACAGGTCGAACTTGCATCCAACAGCGCAGTTATTGGTTGCTTCTGGATGACGGATGGCCCTAAACGAGCACCAAAAACCTAGACTGCCCGGATCACGCCTGTCAATACAAAAAAATGTAGTTGGTGCTCCAGCGCAATCTTGACACTCGATCAAACGACTTGAGACTGCGAAAAGAAGCCTGGGTGAGTGAGGCATGAGGCTGTTCCAGCGGCCTCCGGAGTGGCCCTTACAAGAAGCGCCGCCACCCCTGGGAGTCGGATGCGCCGTGCACTGTTCACCGCCACACGTTCCGGCTAATTTGCTAATCGCTATCAACAATGCTCGTTCGTGCAAATAAACAAAAATAAGAAACGTAGAATGAGCGCACAGAATACCGCAATGCTACAGGTACAGCTGGCTGAACCCGCAACAAGCCAAGGTGTTCTGGATATCGCCATCGTTTCGTTTTTTGAGTCGACCCCCTTACTGCAGATTTTCAAAAATTGAAAAATGGGTGCATTTGTGGAAATATGGGATTTGTGGAGGGCTGGGGGTTGTAGTCTATCATTTCTTTTGTCTTGCTCGTCTCTTTTGTTTAAAGGGAAGCTACGGAGCTTCTTGGAAAAAATGAGTTAGAAGTGAATTCTTGTGTATTTTTACCCCGTGAACCCGAATACCCAAACCATTTGCTGCGTAAGTATTGTTAAACGCGAGAAAAACGCGAAAGACAGTCGCTGTCCGTGACGTCATCGACGGCTCTTTTGGCTGCCCAAGGCTAGGGGGGCGGGGCTTCAGCCCTATTTTGAAATTGCTCGTATGGCTCTCCGGCGCGTCGCATTGAAATACAATTTTGATATCTGTTAATCTAAAGGCCAAATGAACGCAATTCAAGCTTTTTTTCTTAAATGTAGAAGTGCCCCATCTTCCCTTTAAGCACTATTTGAAGCAGCCTATGGTCGAATGAATTCCAGTTGTGTCTGAAACTTTGTGTTTGTGCTCTTCCTCTTTCGCTTCAGTACCAGTGTTCTTCGTAATTATGACAATTAATTCTAACTAGAAGGAAACAGTATCCTACATCACAGTGCCCTGGCATTTTGTTGCCCCTCTGCGGGAACTTTGCCCAAAGCCCATTTCGCTTTTCAGGCTAAATGCGTGAGGAATGCGAAATGCCCAAAACGGTGTTCACTCCCTAGAAAAAAATTTTGATGTCTGATGAGACCCAATCCAGCTGCATACGCCCGGTTAAAAGAGGGTGTGTCAGATTTCTGAGGCCGGTAGGTCAAAGGGAAATGGCAAGTCATTCCTCCGACAGGATTTAGTCACTCCTTATTTTACTGGGGCAAAATCTTGATCTCCCAAATTTCACACTTTTGTTTGTGGGGTGTTGCACTGCAACCATTATTTTCCAATCTCTGGAGATTTTCGAAACAAACAGATATTTTTGCCGTTTGGAAAGCGGACCTTTCGTTTCATGCATTATTGGATTTGAATCACCGATCTAGAAACTATATTTATCTTCCCAACCCACCAATTTTGGTAGATCATCCTCCTGCCTGAGACTTGGTTCAACGATTCCTCGGTAAAAAACTCGTAGAAGCACAGGGCGCCATTAAACGAAAAGTAGCGACGGTTACGAGTAATTTGAGTACTTCCAAAAGAAAGATTATATTACTTTGTCATTACTTCCTAATATATGTAATTAAATCGATATAAGATTACTGAAAAAATGTGGTGCGCTTCACAGCGACAACAGCTTCTGGTTCGAGACGGATGCCACGCCACGGGCCACGCCACTTAAAGTTGGTTGTCGGTTAACGCTTTCTTGGGAAGGGGTTCGTGAATGAAGCACCTGACGTCTCGTTTGGTTGTGTGCGTCTTCTCTGGAGGCAGGGCGGTTTGGGCTACCTGGGCGGCCTGGCGGGTCCTCCCAGTGTCATGCAGCAGCTGTTCCCCCACCTCCCGCCCATGGGGGCCGGGCCGGGGGCTCCCTTCGGCGACACCGAGGGGGCGTCGCCCGTCACCGTGCCCGTCACCTCCTCGACGGGCGGGCCCAGGAAGCCGGCGGCCAAGCGCAAACAGGCCAAGAGCGGGGACGCGCCGGCTCCGAGGTGGGACTTGTTCGTTTATCTCTGTGTTTCGGTGCTCCGCTGGGTCCGCACTCTCCGAAATACTGTCGGTCCACCAGGCAACAGCATCTCAGATTCTGTTGGCCCAGCGTGCCATATTTCGGCTGTTTCTTGAAGTGCACGTTGCATGTGTCCTAAATGTATTTAAAATGTGTCTCAACTATGTTTCATGCATACTTTAAATTTTACGTGTATCCTGACTCCATAATAAACCCGAGACTAGGAAAATGTAAAGAGAAAAGAGGAAAGCCTCGCAGAATGTTTTGCACTGTGTACCTTGAGGGTGAATAAATAATTAAGATAAATAAATCTACCACCAACTCTCCTCCCAAGTAAGGTAACTAAGAAACAAATTGTATCCGAACCGCATCCACAAAATTCGAAACTGCATCCCACGCTTAATCTGCGCATTCATTTTGCATCGTAAAATCAAATATAAATAAAAATTAAAAAGAAAAGCATCTAGATTGTATTTTATTAGTATGGACGAAGAGCATGTACAGGGCCAAGATTGAAAAAAAAGAGTAAACATGTAAGACAAAGATGACATGGAGGTATCCCATAAGCCGTCTGCTTACCTTCGTACAAAGAACTACAGTCGAACCTCGATTTAGCAAAGTCACCGGGACCCCCTAATTATTTCGTTAAATCGGGAACTTCGTAAAGTCGAGAAAGACATTCTTCGGGATAGGCTGCGCGGGGAATCCGAATTTGTTCGTTAAATCGGGAAACTCGTAAAATCGGGTTTCGTTAAATTGAGGTTCAACCATATTCGTGTCAGAACACGGTGACGCCGATAATTCAGACCTGTTCCATATTTCGGAGCTAAAGGAGGAACTGTGACCTAATCAATAAAAATGGTGCATACCTATTCACAACCAATGTTTCGGACAGCTTGCAGTCTGAAAGTTTGGTTTTTCGGACAAAATCGTCTCGAGCAATCGGCGGGAAACACCACCAAGAAGCGGCCATTTTGGATTCTATCTTGGCTGCACATGGATTGGCTTGGTTTGGCAGCGCTACTTATATACTGCTGAGTCCTGCTGCTAGGTGACGCTGTACGGCTTTTTTTTTTGTCCAGCTGGGCGTCATTATTACCATCATTGCTGTTTCCATTTTGCTTTGTTCATTCGCCATTGCAGTCGTGGACTTGCGCCTCTCATCTCGTATTGGTGAACCGTGTTTTCGGACCACGCTGGCTCGGACGTCATTGCCCCACCTGTCCTTACGCCGCCGCAATGTGTCGCTAAGAAGCGCAGAAAATACTCGACCATAACGCAAGAAAAGAAGGCAGCGATTCTCAAGCTAACAGAAAGTTGCCAAACGCAGACGGAGGCGTAATCTGAAACAAGGCGCGCAGGGGTAACCTGGAGCGAGGCTTTATTCACGGCTTTTTTTAACCCTTTAAGTGCCCCTTTGTTTTTCGGAAAGTGACCTAAAATTGACATCTTTTTTTCATTTAGAGGTTTTATCCCTCTAGTAATACAGATAAAATTTCAAAAGTCTATTACGCAAAAATCAGCGGCGGTGGCAAAAAAAAAACGAACAAATGTGCCAACTAAAACGAGTGCTGCCATCTATGATCAGTGCCACAAACTACTCGGACGAACCTAGCTCATCCGTGCAATTGAGGGCTACCGAAGAAACCACGGGACGAGCTGGGCTCGTCCGTAGCATTTTTAACCAAAAAGTGGCCGACGAGCTCGGCTCGTCCATGGCGCTTCGAGGGTTAAGCCGGCTTAGACGTAACAAAGGCAAGTTTTTACAGCGGAGCTGTTAAGGGCTAGGTTCCCCAGGATCGTGTCCGTGTATGCTGACACAAACCTACCTGGAGAGCTACCGCCATCTAAAAGCGACGGCGGCAAGCACACAACCAGTCTGGTTTCCGCCGTCACTCGTAGATGGCGGCAACCTTTCCAGCTATAATAGAATGGATAGTTGGGCGCGTTGGTGGGAATTCATCGTAGGAAAGAGCGCGGAAAACAGACGACGACAAAGAAGAAGCAAGCAGTGTATCGAGTACAGCCCCGCTGGTCTTCCCTCTTCGCGAGAGTGGAAAGGCTGAATGTTTTTTATCCGATGAGTTTTCAGACTGCTCTATTATTCGGACGTTTTTTCGGTCCCTGTGAAATCCGAAAAATCGGTCGGCGACTGTATTCAATAATGGCAGCACCTGTCGATTTGAGTTTTAGACACGAACCCTCAACTGCATGCTCAGAACCATGCACTTAAAAACAACTCGGTGCCAACTGTCGAGAAAAGGAAAATGCACCCACACGGAGTGTTTCACTTGTCGAGGTTGCTGTGTAGAAGGAACAGAATATTGGCTACAGAGACAGATTGAGACTGGTTCGCTTTTCTTAAATTAATGCTCGCTAATGAGAAGTGTCTCTCCGTTGGTGCACTTGATGCTGGGATGGCATGCATGAACTGCGCAACAAGAATGACTTACAAGAATGGACAGTGTGGCTGGTTGGTAAACGTTTATGATGGAAAACAGTGCGAAGCACAGGGACACAGAGGAGAGAAATTCGCTCAGGACAAGGCGCTGACTATCAACTTTCTTATTTTGAAAGCACGCGGGTATGGGGTCTTCTTTTTCTTTCACTGTGGTGTATGTGTTTCATATCACTGAGTGATACTATGTATTTCATAGTATCACTCACTTGTTCACTCTACACCGTGTGGTTGCACATGCTTATGGGCCGCCTCCGCAAAACCTAGATCCGGACATCCAATCCGCATCCGCAGCCCCTGGCATTCCGCATCCAATCTGCAGTCCGTCAAATCTGATTCATTTTTATTCGCATCCGCCAGTTTACTGCGGATATCCGCGGATGATTTGTGGATAATCTGCGGATATGCGGGGATTTATAGATGAACCGGGATATTCATATCTTTTTAAGTGTTGATCACATTCGGTTAGGCCTGTTGAGCGCGTTTCTTACCGAGCTTCAGTGCGCTGCGGAGAAGCAACATCCACGGAGCTTGGCTTTTGCGGGTGTTGCTTCTCACCCTCACAGTGGTGCTCGGCAGGAAGCGCACTCAACGGGGCTAACCCAAAGTACAAGTATTGCAGTTGCATACTTCGGAGGAAAGCACACATTCAAAGCGGGACGGTGTGTGCGCACACCTGGTTTATCTAAATATAAACGGAAATTTTGTGAATGTTGATGTCTACGCTAAAGTAAAATTTTTTCAATCAAACTGTAGCTGTTACGCGAGAGTTAGGCAGAGATGTCCTGACAACATGCACTCATCATTTGTGATTGTCTTTTTTTATTTTCTTCCTCGAATTTGGGATTTAAGACAGGTTATTTGCATACTGCAAGAAGATAAATGAACCCCCTTTATTAGATATAGTTGGGCATCTCTATAAATTTCATTTTATGTCAAATGCACAGTTTACTTGCAGTGCCAATGTAAACATTGGACATTAGGTGGCCGGAGCCAATAAATATACTTAGATTAAAATAAGCTTAGCTTGGAAGCAAACAAGTCAAAGCTTGAGAACAACCTGCACAAACTCGGCTGGGTTTTCGTTTAACCACGGTGCTGTAGTGAATTGCCTAGAGAAACTATTCTATATTCAATCCAAAATAATTCGGCCCAAACCGTTATTCTTTCTGAATTTGATTCATACTCCAAACCTACGATTTGCACATGCCTACTTCTTAAATGAAGGTAACTTAGATGTGTGTAATTGCTGTGGTTCATGTCACACTGGTGCGGAATCAAGCTTGGACGTGGCTAATCTTCGTTCAACCAAGCTTGTTTGTGTTCTCTCGTTGTTTTTCCAGGAAAAGATCAAGGTCTAACAAGGTGGATGGGGAGGGGGATATTGGTAAGTCTGCAAGACCAACCAGCAAGCTTCTGACTAGTCGATTCTTTCCGAGTTAGAGGTGTGTAAAGCACATTCTTCAAAATATGTAAATTTTGGGACCGTTGAACGCCACTCATTTTTTTTACGCGGTGTAGCATCCCTATACGGCTGAACCTCACTGAACCTGACTACTTCGAACCATCCCTCGCATCAAACCACTTCACAATGTCTCCCAAATCCAGTAAAAAAAACTTGCACAGTTTCTTTTTGTTTTTTAGTACAGTAATTTTTATGGTTTTGGATGGATTAATTGCGATTTCCAGACCAGCAAGCTGCCCTGGAAGTTGGCCTTTCCTCACACCAGAGTACTCTCATCCTTTGTAGTGTGTAAAAGCCAACTTCCAGAGCTGTCCTTTGGCACTATTACGGAAGCATTGAAGGCAGCAAGCTCGAATGTATTATTTTCACTAATTATATTAAAAAAGAAAATGCTCCGATCGACACGGTTTGAAACGCAAGATATGGGAAAGTCGGCAGCTATTTTGCTGCACAACCATTTAGACTGAGTAATTTGTTTGCAACGAAAGCGGAGAGTTATTGGAGATGGAGCGTACTCTCGTTTTATCGTATTTTGCTTCGCATACCAAGTGCACATTGTATCTGAAACAGGTTTGGACAGCTTAACATCTATGTGATTTGCAACCTTCCTTATAAAAATTATCAATGAGCTTCCATTGCATCGCTAATGTATTCTATAAGAATAGATTAGAAACTCAATGGTAACCACTGATGATTTTGTAAAGGTGACTAGAGGTGAAGAAAGCACTCTCGGTAGAGAGCAGTGTACCAGATGTCTGGCCGTTGCGCGTCGGAAGCTCTTGTAGCGGGTACATATTGGAATGTTTCAGACGAGCAACGACTGGACGAGATTGTTTGCGGTCAGGAGATTGCAGCTCACGAAGGTGCGATCGTTGCCCTCAAGGTACGCTCATCGCCATCATACTGGTGCCAGAATCTCCGACCGTCGTTTCCGCTTTGTGGGGGGTGGTAACGGCTGTGCTTGACCGCCCTTTCAGCTCCACAAGCACTACGTGTTTTCAAGCTCCACCGACAACACTGCCAAGCGCTTTGACCTTCTGGTGAGAAGAATGGCTCGGACATTTCAGCCTACCCTACCAAACTATGGTTCTTGCACTTGCCGAAAGTTAGCTTGCACTAGCTACGAAAGCCCCGCATTTTAGGACATGGCCGTCGTTTGACAACCACCAGCAGTGCGTGGTACTGCCTTTCACTTGCTGCTGCTGCTACAAAAGATTTAGAGTAGAACTAAAATCCCAGTGGCTGCCGTAGCATTCACTGCCGAGGTTTTTCTTTTAACAGTGGGTAGAAAAGATTTTAATAATTTTAAAAACCCAGCCTTACGTGGCCATATTGGACAGCGACCACCAGCAATGCACGACGTAATCATCACTGGCGACATTGTGTAATGCTGGTGGTTGTCCAATCCTGGGCACGCAATAGAAGGGAATCAAATGTGGCAAACTCGGCAAGTGCGAGTTTGAGCGTGTCTGTGTGGAACTGTTGCTTCTTAGGGAGCCAGTGAGGCTGATGCAAAGTGTGGAGCTGTGACCCCCGCCGGTGCCCTTATTTCCAGGACCCGAGCCAGTCTGTGGTGTACAAGGGAAGCACAATGACGGTGAACTCCCTCGAGGTGCACTGCCCGAAGAAACTCCCTACCCTGCTCTACACGGCGTCTCTGGACGGATTCCTGCGTTGCTTCGAAGCCGACGTAGGTGGCGCTGGTCTCTCTTTGAGGCTCTGTAGCCCGCAGGAATTTCACTGATTTCCCACGAAGGGGAGAATCGTTTGCCAAATCATTGTGGCGCAAAGTACCGTGGGTCCAAAGTACAAATGAATGAAATAAGTTACGCTGGTGGGTGTACTGAACTGCCGAAGGGTGTCTGGCACGGGCCAGCGAGGGATTGCGGATAAACTCGCCTCGCCATTTTTTGGCGTGATCCGAAATCTCGAATTGACACGATAAGCCTCTGTCGAATTGCGGGCAACTTTGCCTTTATTCGAACCTGTCAGTTGGGAACACGTCGGCAGTTTCCTTTTCGTGCATTTTATTTGGCGTTTTTTATTTCTTTCAGTCTGGGGAATGTGTGCAAGAGCACAACATTGAGATCTCCATTGTGTGCTCTGCCCTCTGTTGGGGAAAGATCTACCTCGGCCTCCAGACCGGGTACGTCGCAGTCTTCAATCTCAAGGTGAGCCCCCCTCTGGTTTCGTCCCGATTCCGCAGCGACGTTTTGGTCGGCCTGTAGGGGTTAAAAAAACATTGGGAGATGTTGAGAAAAACATTGCGAGAGTCGTGGAAGTTAAGGGAGAAGCACTACATGTTTACCTGCTTTCATCAGCTCCTTCGTTCGGGAGTTTCAAGGTCTATCGACGGCGAGCGACAACCGTATGAGTGCTGATCGCTGCTCCAAACATGTTTTCATTGTGCCGTTTCTATCCTCCATATCTTACGCTGCTACAATTGCTGGAATCGCCCCATGGCGCATGGAACGCGTCTGCGACTTTGCGATTACCGCGTCCCGAGAAGTGGTTCCTCGACGACGTCGTACAGGTGTCACGCCGCCGCCGGCCGCAATCTAGGCGGTGTCGCAGTGACGGTAGTCTATGCGGCAGGCACTTGTTCTGCTGCATATGCTACCGCACAGCACTTGTAGGCACGTTCCATGCACCGTACTAGAAAGTCTATGCACGAAGCGGCGTTCGGCTAGGACACGTACGGAGACGACCCGTACTGCACTCTCCGCCCGTCCAAACGGGACTGGCACACCGATCCAAATCCACGCCGCAGAGCCAGAAGGTGCAGGAGACGTTCTACTGCTCCAACTGCCCGGTGAGCCGCATCACCACGGCGACGGAGGGCGCCCAGAAGTTGCTGTGCACGGTGACCAACGACGGGAGCATCACGATCAGGGACCCCTCCACGGGGCTCCTCTTCCGCTGCCTGGACGGCCTGGTCCAGCCGCCCTCCTGCATCGCCGTCCACAACGGAGCCGTGTACACCACCTCCGCGGACCGCACCATACGCACGCACGAGCTCAGGGTACGTCTGGGAGCCCTTGCCCCCCCGGGCGGTGTCGACCTTTCGGGGTTCAGACGTGGGTCGTGTCTTGAAGGGAAACTGAAGCAGTCCTGTATTCGGGGAAAAACGCTCGAATCGTCCTCGTTTAGCCTCCAGGATCGCGAATGTCAAGATTTTTTAACTTGGTCCACGGAGACTGCAGAAAGTAATTTTCAAAGTACCGCCGAAGCCCTTCCTTCCCGGAGCATGACGTCACATTGGGAGTTTTCAGATTCTCCGCTCTCGAGCACCTTCGGCGCCTATCCAAGCTATGCACGCGCACTCTCCGTGTATTTCAGAGAAGGTAAGATAAAGACGTAGCGACTGGTGCCTGTGCGGGGGAACACACCTGGCAAGTTTGGAATGGCACGCGCTGCCCACACGAGCGACATGCACTTGTCAACCGAAAGGTCCTTTTATGACCTAACGACTGGTCGGAGGGTTTTCTTATTTTCTCGCGTTAATTTAAGTTGCATCTTCGGGAAAAACGAAAGTGATATTCAGGTGCACAGGATAAAACTACACTAGAATCAGCTTCTATCTGATTTTTTTTCAAGAAGTGTTTCGGCTTCCTTTTAAGGCCAGTTAGCACACTTACGACCGCTTACGATTGTGCGCCTTACAAGGGGTACTCCGGCGTTTTCTTCGTAAGCCTCAATTTGCCTGAAAATTCGCTAAACACATCATCAAACATAGCCAAACTACTAACCAAAGTATTGGGCCGAAATTAAATTTTTTTACGAAGTTATAAATTTACAATTTTGGTCCTCGCCTTTTTTTTTTTTCAAAATAAAAGTCTACCGGCCACGAGGAAAAGGTTATGTCAGCGAAAGGCAGGGGTTAGACTTTGTTCCCATTTGACTACAGAAAGCTTTGTGGTGTGAAATGAGTGCTTTGTGAGCTTGCTCCAGCACCCGTGCAGCAGCACGAAACAATTGCTTGGCATAGTCCATCTTTAGACTGCCCGCTCGACATGCAAGCCTGCCTTTCCCCGACTTGAGGGCGCCGAAAAGCGCGGGTATATTTGAACATTGGTCTTGGCATGGTTTTCATTAGCCGATTTCACCATAACTATTCTTAACTTTGCGATACTAAATAGCGTACGAGAAAGGGTAAAGGCCGGTGATTTCGTAGATGTAGTTAGTGGGGGACCTCAGTAAATTGCCAGAGTGCCCTTGTAACGCCTTTTGGGATCTCTTGCAACAAGAGACCACGGTGGCTTTATAGTCACTGAATGTTTCCAGAGCGTGGTGTTCGATAGCGTCTGCTGCGACTGTTCCATTTTAGGTTTGATCGGCTATTTTGACGCCGAAACATATATGGTAAAAAGGGCTGCCAAACCTTGTCTCCCAAGCAGACGCACCGTGAATTACCACCGAAGTTAGGACGCAATCGGTCAGGACGCGCTACCTGAAGCCACCGGTGAGACACGGTTGTATAAAAACAATATTAACTGTGCCGCTAAACCTAAAAGAAGACAAAGGGTTTATGGAAACATCACGCTCCTGTCATTCTGCGCTATAATCTCCGATAAAAGTTTGTGCAAAAAGAGCTTTTTTTCTGTTTGTTTTTATGCAAAGACGTGCCTTCTAAACGTTCATCTGGAACCATATAGCTTGGGAGTTTCGGTACTCTGGGAACATTCAGTGACTAGCTGGTGCCATCTATCGGATAGCCATGCAACACTTGGCATTCTCATATATTTCCTATTTTTATTCGTGCATCATCGCCCTTTTTTTTGTTGCTCTAAAATCTTTGGACAATGTTATAGGCGGCCATTTCTAATTGACACTGCGTACATTCGATCTCGCAAATGCCACGAAACCTTTGCTCTAAGGAAATGCGGTTCCGAGGTCACCTCCCAGTTGGCGCTGGCATGCCACTGCATTCTCTTGTCCCGAGAGGTCATGAAAACCCGGTTCTAAGCAGACGCGCGCGTCTGAATGGGCCTTCAGTGCTGGCATTTTGCGCACTTGTATAGCGTTCATATTTCTACGCGACCGCGACGTTTTCTTAGAAAAATCTCCTAAAATGCGATAAACTTCTAAATTTAGTAAGGACAGAGATCGCCCTTTCGAGATGGTCTCAAAAATGTCCACCGTGATTTAGGTGTAAAGGAGAGGGAAAGCGGTCAGACACGTAGTCTCAGACAGGCAGGAAGCAAACGTGCGAGTCCTTGAAAATGATAAATCTGCCGAACAACGCCGTTTGCACTCTTTCTCGTTTCAAAAATAACCCCGGAACATTTTTTCTTTCTTTTTTATTTTCTGAAAAGTAAAATTTTGATCGTTCAATTTTATGTAATACCTCACGCCCATACACTCGAGCGAATATGGCAGTACTCTGGACCTTGTGCCGCGTCGACGTGGGCTGCATCTAACGCCCGTGGTTGCGCGTTGCTTTGGCAGACGGGAAGCCTGCTCAAGGTGTACGAGGCGAAGAGTGCGGCCACAGGGGTGCGCTTCTACAAGAACCTCCTGGTGTGCTGCTCTTTCGACGGTCTCATACGCTGCTACAAGACCAAGGTACGGGGACCTTTCTATTCCGGACTGCTCGTTCGGGGTGGCAGGATCCACCGGACAACCAGGAGCGCGATTCACTACACCACCCCCGCCGTAACTTGTCAAACGTCGAAGTCTACGGTCCCAGTGATCCACTGAGAGCATCAAAGGGAGGCACATGGCTGCGGAGCGCAAGTTTGTCCGCTTCTTGCGCAGGGGTTGCAATGATGTCAGAACGCCGAGCTCTGATTGGCTGATTGGAAAAAATCGTGGGTAGACCTGAAAGCGTCTACCCACTATCTTTTCAACCAGAGCCAATCAGAGATCCGCGTGATTCTGACGTCACCGCAACTCCTGGACAAGAAGCAGACGACTTTCCCTCCGCATTGTCATGTACTCTCAAGGGGGCATTCAGAGCTTGGACCCCCATTTTTGGCATCATTTGGTACTTTTTCCGAAACACCAAAAGATAGCCCACATCTAGTAATTGCAGGACCCTGGCCAACGGTGATACTTAACGGGAGATAAGCGAACATTGCTGCCCTGGAAGGATAGTCGTCTTTGGTTCGTCGCCCCTTCCTCCAATCCCAAGTTTCAACTGTCGGACAATCTAAAACTAGCAATCTTTTTTCAACTTTTTTTTTATGGCACGTTGAAATTTAGTTTCCTTCTTATTTTCATCCGATTGGCTATCAGTTTTAGGTGAGTTGGCTTTCGGGATATTATGATAGTCGGTTTTGTATTCTTGTACCAAGGCAGCCCATGAGTCGTAGAAACTCTCTTGGCTGCACTTTTGGCCAAGTGCAGTGCCGTGCACATTTCGGGTACGCTGAAATTACCCAAGAACCCACTGCTATTTGGAGGCGGCGCGATTTCTCGAAGTATAGACCCCGATTCGCGAGGTTCCTTAGAACACAACTAAAAATGAGTGATGCTCGCGATATAATAATTTTTGCCCGCTACTCGGCTGCAAGGATTCTGGGTGGAGCTGAGCCAAGCAGGGTGTTTGAGTGGTCTGTAGCGCCGGAAAAATGTGCATCTTGACTTCTTCTCTTTTGGTGAATCCCTACTCTAATCTCTAAATCTCTTTGACACTCCTCCCAAAGGATTTTTCGTGTCAAGTGGTGTACTACGGGGCTGGGAAGAACATGGTCATGAGCATGGATGTCAACGGACCTCTGGTAAGTTTCTCTTCGGGAGTGTCAGTAACTTTGCAGGGGTCGAACGGCTGCGCCATTTGCACCTTTTTGTGCCAGACGCATTTGTCTGCGCCATTTTGCGCCATGTTGCAGAAACTGCGCCACAGCCAACAGCTCGCGCCATTATGCACCAAATCGCAAAACGTGCGCAAAAAAAAAAGAAATTGTATTTTGTCTTGGTTTCGGTTTCTATCGACTCGATTGGCAACAATGAGCGCGTTTAGCTTGGTCGACCTGTTTTGTTTTACGTTCTTTTGCGAAGAGAACTCACAGGCAGCCTTTTGTGCCGGAGTCAGGCAGACGAACGAGGTCACGTTTATTATAGGTAAATTAAGATACAAGAAAGGCGCCTCTGGTACGGGGCGCTCAGCTTATGCGCGAAGCGGGGGAACGGATGTTTATATCTCGGGCTGCGCGCGAACGGTTGTTCTCAGTCGCTTTGGACTTTGGTGCTTGCGAGCGTTGGCCCGTCGGCAGCTCCACAACATTGCTCTTCCTAAGGGAGCTTCTAAGATGTGCCGAAACGGTCTGGCTCTTTTAGACATCGGCCGTGCCAAGTATGTTTATGGCAGGTGTCGGAACATGTTTCCTCGGGCCTCGTGGTTGTTTCGGGGGACTCTTCGATGCATCGTTTATCTTGTTGATCGGGGAAAGGAATTAAATGCGCGCGATTTCTTCGGATCTCTTGACCCTCGGACGTTATCCAGTAAGATCACGGTGTATGGGCCTTGTTCTGAACAACTCCGGTTCGCTTAAGGTCAATGACCCAAACTCGCTCTCCAGAGCCGAGTGGATCGAGTTGAAGCACTCCGTGTCGCCGGTCCAAGTATCGCTTTTGTCGGTTCCTGTTTTCCTGCTCGTAGCGACGCAGTTCTTTTTGGTCGGGGGGCTTTGGTTCCAGGAGCTGAGTGGCGATGGGTACGGTTGTACGCATCCTTCTCCCCATGAGAAGTTCTGTCGGACTGTATCCGTTGGGCAGAGGCATTGAACGGTAGATCAGGAGTGTCTCACACGGATCTTCCGTTTTGCCGAGTGATCTCTTTATGATCTTCACCGCAGCCTCCGCCATCGCATTGCTCTGCGCGTCGCGAGGGCTCGATGCGATGCGCTTTAATCCGTAGGTCTGTGAGAACTTTGTGAATGCTGAACCTGTGGTTCCTGGAAACTCAGAACCATTGTCAGACACCACTACTTCTGGGATGCCATGCTTCGCAAATATCGATTTGCTGTGCATTATTACTTTTTGCTGCGGTGAGGCTTTGCAGTCGGGCAATTTTGGAATAGCGAGAGTAGTAGTCGACGACGACTAGCCACCATTTTCCGTGACAGAAGAAGAGGTCCATCGCCACTCTCTCCCACGGTCGACTAGGAAACTCGGACGGGATGAGGGGAAGCTTTGGGTTCTGGCCAGTTTTAATGCACTTATCGCAGTTCTTGACCAGGCGCTCGATATGATAGTTTATCCTCGGCCACCACACGGATACATTTGCCCGTACCTTGCATTTTCCTATGCCCATGTGTCCTTCATGAAGTTGTTGCAGGCCATGTGGACGGCAGGATACTGGTACCACTATTCTTGAACCATTCGTGAGAAGGCTGTTTTGCACGGCAATCTGATGACGGTACTCGTAGTACTCTCGGAGGTCTGTTCCGAGATCTCGACGATTTGGCCAACCTTTGTGGCTGTACCTGGCGAGTCTTTGGCAAACACGATCTTTGTTTCTGTTCTGCCATTGTCCATTGGAGACTCGTTTGCGTTGCGGGTAGGGACGTCTCTCTGTGTCAAATGAAGCAATCGATTTGTTCTTGCATCTCCCTGTCTTGCCGCTGTGGAAGAGGGCTTCTGGACAGCGAGTCAGCTGCTTGGAGTTCCTTGCACGGAACGTGGACAAGTTCGAATGAGTAGCGCATGAGACGCACGCGCAGTGTCTGAAGACGTGGGGTTAGGTCGTCCAATGACTTTGATCCGAACAGAGAAACGAGAGGTTTGTGGTCGGTTTCCAGTACAAAGTGCGTTCCCACGATGTAATCTCGGAATTTCTCGCATGCCCACGTGAGTGTCGAACCTTCTTTTTAGATTTGGGCGTACCTCTTCTCTGTTTCGGTTGGTGTTCTGGACGCATAGGCGATGACGCGATATGATCCATCCTCCTGCTCTTGACGCAGCACTGCTCCCAGGCCGCAGGATGATGCATCTGCCGATACAATCAATCGATCGTTTGTTGGCGTCGTAAATTTCGAGAACGGGGCAGGTTGAGAGGATTTCCTTCCACTTTATGAATGCTTTCTGTTGAGGATGATCCCGCTTCGGACACCATGTTTCGTTTTACGTTGACCTTGCAATCCTTTGTTCCGTTTATTCTCCCTGTGTATCCCGAGTCGGAAGCGCGCAAAAAAACTCAGTCGGATTCCAAGCGCTACACCACCTGCGACTGGATTGTTCTTCTTCAACCATTAGCAGTTAAAGGGATGCTGAATCGGAGTTTTCGTTGCAGAAAGCAACGCGGAAGCGCTAGGCGGGGCCCAACAAACCCGACAACATCATTCATAAAGCGATCTCTCCAACGGATGGTCGTATTTTTGTGGAAGAAGAGCGCGCTTGAACAAGGCCGAAAGAGGCCGTGACGTCGCGATTCTCGTTTCCTCCTCTTCTCACTTTGACTCCGTGAGGACGCGAAGAGCGAAGGAAGCAAGGCCGTTTCCCCCTCCTTCGAGCAATTCTGTAGGAAACGCGACATTGCGATTCTCACTCAATCGCATCCTTATTTTACAAAAATGCGGCCATTCGTTCGAGGTATCGCTTTATGAGTGGTGTTTTGGGGTTTGTGGCGTCCCGTTGAACACCCCTGCTACCTTATTTTGTGAAATCCAAATTTCTGTTCAGCATCCCTCGAAGAGAGCTGGTTGAGGTGAGGTCGAGTCGTTATGCGTCAGATTGCCTGACGCTCTGGGGCCCAGGATTCCCAGTTGAAAACGAATGAGCCAAAGATTCCTTTTAATACTTCATCATTAGAAGTTGGAACCGCATTCTCGCAAGATAAATCGTGATTTGAAAGAACTAAAGCGCGGTCGGATCCGAAACCTTGCCGGCCTGCAGCTCTCACGCGAGCGGTAGATCCGCTGGGCGTACTTTAACCTTGCTCCTGTTTATCGTTTAGAATAGGATAACTCCATTAATCGTAATCTGCTGCTTCGATATTGAGTTGCTTAATAGGATAAACTCGAAATTTGTTGCTCCGTTCCTCCGCACAACTGCACGTCCATTGCTTAAGCACGTCACGAGGTTCGCACGTATAATTACTATGTCGAGCACGTGTGGGTTGCGCGATAAGCAGTGCTGGTTTGCATTTTGAGCAGCTGAAAGCCACTCAAAAATTATCGAGGACACTATCTTCAGAACCATATGGTACTTGCTTTTTTGTTCTCATTAAGGCTGACAAAAGTTTCAAGTTTTCGCATCAGTTACACTGTTATCCAATCTACCTAGATCCCTTACCACTCCTGTTCATCTGTGCTGCTAAGCACAATTGAAATTGCTCCCGTGCTTGTCTAAGACACAAGCTGAAGTGCAATGAAAGCTGATCTAAGCTGCTCCCAACCTGCTCCAAAACAGCTGTTTCAGCTGCTCCAAGTACATTTCATGAGTTCCACCCCTGCTTTGTGGTAGGGTCACAATTAGGTATGGCTGCCGTCCAATTGGCTCGATAATTTTGATTGGGCCTCTTTCGTTGTTGTATTCTTTTTGTGTTCATTAAACTTTGCTGAGTTAGACACTTTAATACACTATGTATATTGCTTTCCTGTGGCTGCAGTCTCTGGCTTTTTGTCATTATGCAGCGGATATTCCTGCTTTAATAAAGAGCAACTTATTGTACAACATTGGGACTTTGGCAATGGAGGTAATCTCTTAAATCATGTACTTGAGAGATTTTGCTCCTTCGCCTGTTCCAAAGACGCTCCGTCAAAATTAATATGTATGGAAGATTTATCTCGCTCGTTAATTGGACGAAAGATTGTGTGCTTAGTTTTTTTGCATTAAGTTGTAGTTTGTTGCACTAAAGAAAACATGCACTTGCATTTTTTTTTACATGTTCCCCTCTTCTTTGAAGGACGGTTCTAGAAAGCCGAATAAATTCGATGAATTCTTGGTGCTTGTTCCAAGAGCCAACATTGCCTGCTTTCTCTATTCTCGCCCAGATTGCAACTGGCAACAGAAAGGGCAAGATAGAAGTCGTCAACTTCGACAAGAGCAACCTGCAAGTGTGTGGGGTGAGCGTTGCAGATGTGGTGCTCTTGATGCGTTCAATGTAATATTTTCTTCACCTTCAGATTCAACATGGGGCTCTTTAAGGAAACAATAGCTGTCTGTGCATTGATCTCGATATGAAAGATCCTGGGAGTTCTCGTTGCAGACACTTTTCTAAGAGACTCGGCTTCTTCAAGTGCCTTGACGATGCTAAGTTTCCCCGAGCGTGTCACGGTCTAAAATGTTCCGCAAGTGCCTGCCAGAAGTTTGAAGATAATTTTTCTTTTCCTTTAGTTTGGGCATGGGTTAAAGAGCAGAAATGCGAAGGGTCTGGTTGCATCAGCGCGCTCGGAGAAGCGGCGGCCGCGGAGGGCCGTCTCGGCTTGCTAGTCAGGCTGAGAAGCCTGGGGCGGATGCCTGATATTGGGTAGTTTTCAGACGTCTCGAAAGCATCTGATGGACTATCGTAGTGATACGAGTGCATGCTCAGTGCTTTACGGTGGTATCGCCCGCTCTGAAGTGGTACTACTATAACGCACCCGTTATCTGCTAGGCTTTGCGATGGTTCGGGGTCCAAACCATTCCGGTGGAATCTAGGTCCGCCTCAGTGGTTGCCCCTTTTCCGGGTCTCGAACGACGCAGGTGCAGTCGTGCAACCTCAAGTTTGCCCGGGAGGAGGACTTGGTTCACCACCTGCGGCGAGAGCACATTGGCGTCGGCGCCAAGGGCTCCATGACCTGTCCCTGGACGCAGTGCCAGATGAGCTTCTCGGGCCCAAACTGCAACAAGGTGAATATCCTCGTGTCTGTTGCGTTTTTGAAGACCTTTATTCAACTGACACCCTCCAGCACCGCTCGTGCCGAGTACAACTCAGAAGTCCCATACGCACCAGGTTTTCTTTTGCCCGGCTATTGCCCCCGCGCTCGTAGTGCCCTCTGGACACCACAGTGTCGTCCAGTCGTAATCCGGGCAATCAGCGGCTCGTGAGCGCACAATATAAACAGATGGTGATGATGATTATCGTGACGATGATGAGGTTGTTGCGTCTTTAAATGTGCCAGTCAGAGACGTGTTCCAGGCACCTTAGTTTAAACGTAGCCTAATGTTTTTGTGCCATACTGCGAGTTAAGGGGGTCTGGAAATTAAATCGAGTCTGAATGCTGCACACTGCGCAGGCAAACTTTTGAATTTTTCGAGCATGCCCTTAGTTGTGTGTACCTTAACTGCGTACAAGACTAGCGATTCCTGGACGAATTGCCATTTTTTCATATTTTACTGTCCCACGTGTGTGGCCACTGCACCGAAACCACGTGGTACTGGGGCACCGAAATGACAAATCGATTATTCTACTGACGGTCGAAGGTTTGCACGAGTGCAAAACGTGATATTTCGCGCAGGCTCGGTGCAGGCGACTCGAAAGTCGCGATCACGTTTGCATTTTTTCTCTTTATGCACCGGGATAGGATCTCTTCTTTTTCTGCTTTAGTCGACTTCTGGAGCAAGGTAGCCTTTGTTCGGATTGAGAACGTGGTCCGTATTGTCCGAGATAGTGCCGAGTTTGCAGTTCCCCATGCGCGCAGTCTTTCTTTGGAACGGAACCTTTGCCTTTAGGAGCCACGCCATAAACGTGCGGTATATCGTACATCCATCGGGTCTCCTCCCCGAGGATATGCGGGAAAATTTCAGATTTTTTTCGTCATGCAAGTCTCGTCTTTATTTCGTTACAGGATTTCGAAAAACACCTCATGGACCACGCCTACACGTGACGAGACCAGTCACGACGTGCGCAGCTCAAAGGGGTTACGTCCATTCAGACACGCTCGTATCATCTAACGAGTCGGTGTCGGTCGGTTTAGCCGTGCTCAGAACATTGAAAGAGTCAACAAAGCTTTGGGACTTTGCAGTGCTGCGGGAGCCCATTGTCGCTCAATTTTGACGCGTAAAGCTTTAGTCATTGTTCAGACCTTTTGCGTGGCGTTTCATTTCTTTTTTCGCCGTCTAGGACAACAAATTTTCTTCTTCATGTTTACTATGAATTTGTATAAAAATAGTTTTTGTAAGGTTGCAAGAAACTGTACATAGTCAAGATGCAGCATACGCGTGTGTAAATAGGAAGCCATTGTCAAATATGAGCGAGAGTCTAGTTTTTTCATGTGCTTCGAATGGTGAAATTTTGTACCGTAATGCGGAATAGGTGTCTGTTGAGACGTCACTACCCGTTTGTATCATAAAAGAGTGTGGGCATTGAAACCTGTGTCTTTGTTGTTTGTCTTACGGGCCACATGTTGTTTCTGTTTGTTTATTTTTTGTTTTGTTTTTCTGAGTCTTTGAGCTTGGGTTGCTGGCTGAAGATGCCCTACGCCCAAATTCTTGCTTTTGTGCATGCGCATTTTGTTTTGAAACTAGAAATCAATGCCTAGAGAGAGAGAGCGGCGTGATCTTGAGGATTTCAGTGCAATGTGAAACTGAGCTGCAAACATCTCTTCTCCTAGGCTAAAATAGCATCTCGTCATCAAACTGTGAAACATTTGAGTTGGTTCATTGTTGTTCCCCCCCCCCCCCGAGTCGTTTTAAAGCGTAAATGTTTTGCAGAAGCTGTTAAGTTCTAAGTTCGATTTAGTCTTGTGTATGCTCATTTTTGTTATAAAAATAAAAATAGATACGTGGGGAGAAAAAACAAAACACCTAGGAGATTTCAGCAAGACAGGAATATGAGTTGCTAACACCTTCCCACTTGCTAAAAAAAAATTATCTTTTTTTTTTTTAATTACCAGTCAGATGTATCAGTGAAGAGTAGCCTGGTGCATGCTTTTCTGTCGGATAAGTTCTGCCAATAAAATTGTGTTTGGAGCAACTGCGTTTTCAATGAATAAACCATACTGCAGTATGTCCTCCCTTGGACTTGACTGGATGAAAATATCTAAGCATTATCCGATCGCTTTGGAAAGAGGACCTCAGGAAGCTCTGGGTTGGTGTTCATAGCTTTTGCTGCAGTTGGGCAAAGCACCGAACAATGACGCCTTTTGGCTTTCCTTGATGTGCCGAAAAATGGCAAACAAATTTGGGTCACCTTTGCACAAAGTAACATTTTTGCAGTTTTGCAACATTGTAGCGGTTATATTGAAGCCGCTGCTATCGTCTCGCCTGAGTCACTATCCGCATACTTTGCGAGTGTAGTCTGAATTTGACATCTAACTTAAGGGGGGACACTACCCAGAAGAAAACAATTTCTGCAAAAAAAGTTGATTTTGACAAATGTCATATTTACATCCACCAACATTCAGAGAGTATTCCCAGAAAGTTTCATTAGTTTACACTGCATAATTAATTTTTCATCATTTTTTTTTTTTTTTTGGTCCACCAATGCTAAAGAAAAGGTAGAGGTTGGAGCACTTTGAATGCATTTTTCTCCATTCCAGCTTTTGGCAGAAATTTCACTTTAGAAAACTATCGTTTTGTTATTACGTAACTTGGATTCACTTTTAGAAGCTTTTCTGGGGTGAAATTTTAAGGGGAAGATAACTATGAGCTTGTATTTTTGTCGTTTTTCATGCTCGAGAACTAAACTTTTGGACAAAGAATGGAAATCTAAAAAACAGCATTTGTGTTTCTCTGGCTTTTCTGTCATGAAAGATGGTATAATATAGAAATATAGCTCCATAGTTATCTGCTCTGAACTGTCCTAAAGCAATATAACGCGTGAAAACGACAAATTTATAAGTAATTTCAAAACGATAGTTATCCTACACGGACACACCCACTTTCATCTTTGAACATTTGCAATTTTTTTTGTACATCACTCAAGTTAACAAAATACGGCAGAAATGTTCTCAACGTTAACAGAAACAAGCCCTGTCAATCTAAATCAAAGAAGCGGTTCAAACATTCACTTTTTTGGGGAGTGTCCCCCTTGAATGTCTAGTGAGATCTGTTTCCAGTGAAGTTCTGTCCAGTGAAATTTCTAGTCAAATTATTTCCCAGCTTTGCCAAGTTCACTGGGAATCCACCTTTAAGGGGCCCTGTAAGGACTTTTCTACTGGTTTCTAATTTGCACCGAACCTGAGCGCACTGAACGCAGTAACTTAATGAAGCTTTTCTTTTTTCGAATTTCACTTTATTTTAAAAGTCAAATTAAAATTACAAAAACAAGCAAAAAATAACCTCCTTTATGACGTCCTTAATCGCTCGAGTGGCCGTGCGTGAACTAGAGGAGGGATAGCGAGCTCAGCGACCGCTCACGACTGCCGCACTCCGTGTCGACGGCTCGAGAGGGTGCCACCAAAGCATGTTCTGTATAGTAGGCTGTATGAAGCGGGCAGCCAGGGCGGCTCGCATTGCATTTGCTGCGCGATTAAACACCGGCATGACACTTCACTGGCCAAAAACGACAGCAAACACGGGATAAAGATCAGTTCAGAATGGGAGCCACTCTGCGCTGCCATACCGCCAAAGGGCCAAACTGCTAGCCAAAAGTGCTCGCCAAAGGCCTTTGGAACGCTCGGAACCGGTCAGATCCTCGACTGCAGCGCCACGGCGTACATCCGGGACCTTTCTGTGCTCGCCACCCGTCGATGCCCGATCCCTCTACACCTTTCTAGTGTGCACCGCCTTTTCCACCGCTTGGTGGCGGGTATGTCGACGGGTCATTTCTTGTTTCCGTATTTAATAAACTGCATTTGTTTCTTTTCTGATCTAAAATACTGAACAAAAACTACTTTTATTAATAACTGAAACCCCTCACGCCACTTATATTTTGTATTTCGACTAAAAAAAAGATCTTAGCCCAAGACCAAAGACGTCGCATATCGCGCGCTTTCGGCAATGCGGGTCGCCCTCGTCGGTGGAGGAGGCTGCCGCGTCGTCCGGTTAAAATATGACGCACTGATATTTAGTTACTCTCTCTGTGCCCGCTGGCTTGCCCGAACCCCAAGAGACGTGGAAACCTCAGAAAAGGTAGACGCTTAAATATGACCGCACGGCCCCTTTAAAGGTCGACTCCAGTTAAAAACAGAAACAAAATGAATGACTGGGATCGCTTTAGTGGCACGAAAAATGATCACAGCCGAAATGTTACGTCGAAGTGAAGCCACATGCTCCACTAAAACCGATTTTAAAGATTCGACCAGCAGCTCTTTAGTGGGCGGCAAGCGGGTTAGCTTTTAGTCGAGGAACACTGGCACAGCACCCCCTTGACATCATGTTGCGGCAGAGCTGTCGTTGATTGGTTGCATCGCTGATCTCTGGCAATTGCTGGATTGCGCTTCCCGGCTTTGGGAATCCGGCCACCGGACGGCCTTCGCCACACAAAATATCAACCTTTTGGAGCGCAGCGAGGCTGGGTGTGATAAGGCACATTCTTTGCTCGTTCGTCGTCATTCGCCAAAGGAGTTTGGTCTATAAAGGAAGCTTTGATCACCTGCGAGACCGACGTGACTGGCTTTCCACAAGTTGTACCTTCTTCCTGTGGTGCTGCGCTTTCGTAAAACTTTCCACAGGCTCTCAAAGGCAATTATCACCGTTTACACCAGGTTTGAAAAAACTTGTTCGGGGAGTGACGGCAAACGAGCAGACCACACGCTCTACGCGCTTCCGCCCAGTCTCACTGTGCTCCAAAAGCTTGATTTTCTGCGTGGCAAGATAGCCGTCCGGTGGCTGCACTTGCGCTGCAGCGACCAAGCGGGGATGCGTCATCCAGCAAATTGTCGTAGAGATCAGTGGGTTGGTTATACCCAACGTTATTAGACTAGCTCAGTTATGAAACTGCCCAGAGGCGCTGCTTGCACAAGCAGTACATCCCCCACCCCCTTCCCCCCTTATCACGACTCGCTTCCCGTCGTTCGACTCCAGACGGCTGCTTTGGTAACTGCAGTGCTGTGTATTCTATGGAATACGTGCGTTTTGAAGCACAGCATCTAGATGGCATTCCACCGTACTCTATGGTTACTCAATGAAACAGTTCTGAAATGAACATCTAGATGGATGAATTAGGGTGGCAATGCGGGCTAGTTGGTTCACGCTAGTGGATTCTACACGGCGCACAAGAAACGAAGACAAAGTGGGAGGGTGTACACAGGACAAGCACTTCCTTTCAACTGAAGTTTTTAGGGGCGAAGCTCCTTAGGGTCTAGCCTTGTCCGGCGTCCGTGCTCACATCGACTGCCATCCCATCTGTCTTCAAAAAAAGAAAAAACGTTTGCGCAGTCGACATGATTCGAGCCTGTGCGGGGAGATCCCAATGGATTTCTAGTCCATCGCCTTAACCACTCGGCCACAACTGCAGGACGAGTAGGGGCTCTGAGATATGGTAGTATAACTCGAGAGCTGCGGATGTCATGGATGAAACGTTGCATGTGAACGCTCAACGTCTATACAAGAGAGGGCGCTGCGGTCAAATGCGTATATAACTGCATTAAACTTTGCATGCATTGGCTAAACTTTTATAGACGAGAGGGCGCTGCGGTCAAATGCGTATATAACCACGTTCCATACCACACATTCTCAGTGTTTCCAGATTGGGCTATATATAGCCAAATTGGGCTACATTTTTTTCTAGTTGGCGTCAAAGTTTGGTTGGCTATGTGGCTATTTTGGGCTATTTCTAAGAATGCGGCGAACTTTTGTCGAACCTCGGGTTCGACGCCGAACTTTGAGGTTTGGCTAGTTAAATTTTGGAACTTTTAGTCAGTTTCGAAAAAAAATTGTGTCTCTTTTGGCTAGTCGAGAGGAGAGAGGAAGGAGAAAGGCTTCAAATTTCGGGGTTTTCACAATGCGTAGTGAAGCAACGCTTGCAAAGTTCAGGCGGTCTCCCTACAGTGCAGTGGAGGAAGCCAAACGGATTGCACTATTACCACAGGCCCGGTAGTGCACCTTCAACCCGGACGCACATGGCTCTGCCCGGACGTAGACTGATCTCTCCAAATGCTGCTTTGGTGCCCATTGTGAGAATCTTTAGGCACCCAAGTTTGTAAAAAGGAGAAGTCCGCAGTTTCACCGCTAAACAATTGACTACCTTCCAGTCGTTACCACCCAAAGAAATCCGCCCGGACCAGGCGGATTTTTTCGGTCCCGCACAAGTTGCCTAGCTGTGTTTGGAGATTTGTGTTTGTCCTTTGTCCCTCTTATTCCCCTTCTCCAGGGATTATTTTCGGCAGTCAGAAATAGCGTGAACAGGAATGGGTGACACAAATATTGTTCATAAAAAAAAAAAAGAGACGGGTGGGATATTGGTAAGGACCCGAGATATTGGGGTTCTGGTTTGAAACACCCAGTGTTCTGACTGTTCTGCTTCTGTATTTTGTTCTTTTACTGAAATGATCATATCTCCCGGGCTTAATTAATTCTCAATAAAGCTTTCTGTGTATTTTGTACTTCTGAAAACCTGCGAAGGAAGGGGATTTTCATCCTTCCGAAGCTTTTTCTAAAAAATGTAACATAATGTACACAAAAGGTGGTGGATCTGAGGCTCTGAGGGTTGAAACTAGGGGTGTCGCGAACTTTTGTCGAACTCGATTTTTAGGTCGAACTTTCGGGGTCGAGTGGGTCGAACCGGTTCGACGAACCTTCGAACTTTTAACCAAATTCGACCGGTTCGACTTTGTAGACAGTGTAGCCAGACCTTGATGCAAGTATATCTAGGTTTGGAGAATTTTTTTTTATGCAAAGGGTTATTTTATTTTATGAACAGTTGCAATTAAAACAAACAAATTCTAATCACTGAAAAAGTTAATAACTTAATTTTTTGCAGTGTATTAACTGAAATAACTAATCAGTGCTGCCCTTATTTCATCCCTTAGCCATCACCATCCAATCCGAAGCCAACTGGCTAACCTGTCGCGCTTGCGCACACGATGCGCA